TTCCAGTATCAACCATTGAAAAATATATCAATCTATATATTAATATACGAAGCAAAAACTTTGTACCTACTTTTACTACCTACCCCCTTTTCATGAAAAATTTGTAAAATTGCACGGACGCAGGAGTAAGAAATTTCGCATTTACTAGTTTATATATACTGACATACAGTTAGACAGTGCATAATGCAATTTTTTTATTTATGTATAATCATTACATAGTATAAAATAAAGTCGCTGTCGCTGTCTATGCTTAAATCTTTAAAACTACGCAACGGATTTTAAAGCGGTTTTTTTAATAGAGAGAGTGATTCTAGAGGAAGGTTTAAATATATAATACATGTACACTCGGGCGAAGCCAGGGCGAGTAACTAGTAAACACAATAAAACACACACACATAGACACAGACATAGAAGTATAGTCTTTGACAATAGAACTTTAGTAATGTTCATACTTGTAATTTAAATTGATTATGGTCGATTTTCGAACAAAAGCAACCACTAGTGGTTGGTGATAGATCACCACATCATGAAAACTTAGGGTTGCATGCATTTGTAATGGAAAAATTATAAAATAAAATAGTCCAATAAATAAAAAAATAAATATTAGGGATGGACAACCCTAACGGGGGTATGAAAAATAGGTAGTAGCCGATTTTCAGACCTACTGAATATGCATATAGAATTTCAGAAAAATCGGTCAAACCACTTCGGAATGGCAAATAACATTGCGACTCGAGAATTTTTTATAAAAGATATGGATGTCATAATCTGTGGTGACGCTGGGGCCTGAAATTGCAAACGGAGCCTACACTTAACCGGCACAAGGTCGCGGAGACCACTGACTGAGACATCTTCCGCTCAATTAGCGCCCCCCGAAATCATTCACACACCTGTCAAATTATGAACGGACGTCATTCAATGCTCACTCAACATTTTTGTGGCTGTATGGGAGCAGTTCCCTTTGCCTTTCCGTTATAGGATAAATACAACAAAAAAAAAATTTTTTTTTCTATGATAATAATAATCTCAGGACAATTCGCATATAGACCCAAGTTAAGCAACTAATACAAATACATAGATATAATTTTTTTCGTAAATACATACATATTATACATAGAAAACACCCAGACCGATATAAACAATCATACTCATGAATACAAATGTTTGTGCCGTGCGAGGAATCGAACCCGCGACCATTGGAAGTAACGCGGTGTGTTAACCCGCTAGAACATCGAGGTCGTCATAATTGATTGGTGCACCAGTTTGCGCTGCGCTGTACCGATGTACATGCTGGGGACCAGTAGTATTGGAGCTTGAAACTTATATTTTAGGCTGTTGATTGAGTTGAATGGAATTCTATACATAAATTCGTCAGTTTTGAAGCTAGAACTATGAATTTAGCTTTTATTAGGTTAAATTACTAAATATTTTTACATTATTTGGTGATGGTCACTATTTTACGCGGATGAGGTTTTTTTCGGACTACTCTAATGTTGTTGGCCGCAGCTGGCCTTTACAGATTCACCGGACGATAGGGGCGAGTGCAGATGGCACTCCAAACCCGCGGAAGGACTTATGGAGCGGCTGAAGGCCAACTCCCGCCTGACGGATACCACTTTAGTCTGAGGGCACCGCTAGGGGTCCGAACCTCGGCTCAGGTCGTCGTCACATCGGTCCCCGTTTGAATTGGACAGGGGATCGATCGGAAGGGACAGCAGATAATGTCGCGGGTACAGCTAGTAGTAGATATATACATAGGATAATTTTATCCAAATATAAGCGGGCAAGGCTGCGAGTTACAACTAGTTATAAACCACGTGCTTCATTAGCCTCATTTTGCATTATTATAGTATATTTTCCTTCCTGCCCACTAATGATATGTATGATTTACAATAATATTATGTATAACTAGCTATTCCCGCGACTTCGTCCGCGTGAAACTTAACTTTATTTTTCTAAAATAAAAGTAACCTAAGTTACTTCTTATCACGTCAGCTATCTACTAAAAATAGTCCCGTCAAAATCGGTCCGACCATTTCAGAGAATAGCCGGAACAAACAGACCGACAGACAGACAGACAAAAATTGTAAAAAGTGTTTTTTGGTACATACACCAAAAAACCACTTTTTACAATTTTTGTTGTATGTATATTCATATGCGTGTAGTAAAAACGGTTATTTCAATAAAAAAAAATTATACTACGATGGTGGCAAACAAGCATACGGCCCATCTGATGGTAAATGGTTACAGTAGCCTATGAACGCCTGAAACACCAGGGGTATCACGTGCTCGTGCCGACCCTTAAGAAACCTTAATATACCCTTCTTGAAAAACCCCATGTATGTAGTCTCGTGGGATAAAATATTACAAACAGACACTCCAATTTTATTTATATGTATATTAATAACGCTATCAATTACGATTACTTGATCCTTAACTTTAATACAACAAAACAAAACAGTGAGTAATGTTATCAAAATAAATATTTTTTAATTATTTAAGTATGATAAAATCAGGTGAAGATAAACAATCAGCTAACGAAAACATATGAGGAAAATAAACAGAGGGTTCATTAGTTAAATAGATCTGTCATAGAAGGAAGATGCGGAATGCTCAATGTTATCATGATAAGGAATTACACAGACTACATTGTTAGCGAGTTCATTTTGGCCTCGGTGGTCTAGCGGTTTAGCACACTGGCTTATTTCCGATGGTCGCGGGTTCGTATCCTGGCACGGCACAAACATTTGTATTCATGAGTATGATTGTTTGTATAGATCTGGGTGTTTACTATGTATTTACAAAAAAACATCTATGTATTTATATCAGTTGTCTAGTACCCATAACACAAGCTCTGCTTACCGTGGGATTAGATGGCGCTTTGTTAATTGTCCAGGGTTATTTATTTATTTATAATATACCCACAACACAGGGTGTAGCTGGCTTAACTAGAGTCTAGATGGCGCTGTGTGAATTATTCTGAGATTATTACTATTATTATTACATGGAAATGTCAACTCTTTACAATTTTCGAAATAACACTGGCTGTAAATCATTGTTCCAAATACAAATTTTAAATTTTAATCAATAATTATAAAATTAAGTAGTATGGCTATGGTTACTCTACTCTATGCTTCCTAGATTAAGAATAGAGCGCCAAAAATATATTCTATACTTTTGAATCTATATTAACTGGATGGTAAGGATAAAAATATTAATACAAAAATATTGATGTTTATAAACGGCTAAAATGTCCTACATGAATAAATGATTATTGATTTTACTGTTTATCAGGACAAAAGATTTTGATTTTGACATGTAGCAGCACATTATATCAACTGATTAAGTGTATGACTACTCCAGATTAATAATCTAATTATAAAATTTCATAACAATTACTCACAAATCGATGTTTGATTATAATTTTAAATGTGTCCATAAAGAATTACAATCAAAAACTATAATAACATTTTTTATTATAAAAACATCAGAAATCAATAATCACAATATCAATCACCATAACATAGACAAAAAATAAGACATTATTTTTTTAACTCCCTCTAAAAGAATAATGTTAAGATAAATATATTACAATTACAAATATACATAAACATTTTTTTTTAATACTTTCAAGTACACTTATATCATATTTGAATACATTGAATCTCAATACAAGTAGCAATTTATCACTTAATTAAAATGAAGAAAAAATACATGGAGAACATGTATATAACGGAATTGTTACATTCTTAAACATATCATTAAAATATTCAAGTGTTTTATAAATAATGATGTTAAAAGAACATTGTGTTGTTTGTACCTATCATTTGAAATATTCTATCAGTAGGTAATTGTTAAAAACTTACTACATGAATAATATGGGTGTTTATTTAAAACTAGCTGTTCTTGCGACTTCGTCTGCATGGAATTTAACTTTATATTTCTAAAATAAAAGTTTTTACTCTTCACTCTTTATTACATCAGCTACCTGCTAAAAAACGTCCCGTCAAAATCGGCCCAGCCATTTCAGAGATTAGCCGGAACAAATAGACAGACAGGCAGACAAACAAAAATTGTAAAAAAAATTATTATGGAGCATGTACCGTATTTACATTCATATGCTTGTAGTAAAAACCGTTCATTTCAATATTACAAACAGACACTATAATTTTATTTATATGTATAATAAATATAGTTGTATAAAGTTAAGTATTTAAAAAATATTGTTTCTAAAACCAAAATACCATTCACTGGTTTCTGAATTCTCTTATTATGTCATCTACATTTTATCATTCACGATGATAATGTAACATATCATTTCTATACTTTATCTATTTAATAAATGATTTATTTTGTTTATTTATTAATTAATAGTCAGTTGAACGTTAAATGTTCTATTTTTCTGTGGAAACTTCTAGATTTTTATGTTATTTACAATGCTTGCTACCCAAATATATATAATATATAAATATTTATATGTATTACATATCAAAACAAAAGAACTGTTTATATGTATCTAGCATAGAGTCATGTCATCAATTTTTTATAAGTATCATGAAAAACAAGTAAATTTGTTTTCTAAATATTTTAAATGTCAGGCATCTAAAATATTAAAAAAAAATTAGGGGTTCAATACATATTAGATCAGTTTCAGATAAGATTTCTATAAATACAGTATTTCTAAATTTGCTACCTGTTAGTTTGAATAAATCGCGAGACTGGAGAATAGAGAAATTGTGTAACACAAAAGAACTGCAAAAATCATTTTCAAGTGTAGCCCACAAACCAGGATAATTGTGTATGCGATAAATTCACATTTTAATTCAAAATTAATTATTATCACTAATAATACTATTCATGTATAAACGAGACAACACATTTAATCGAAACATTTAAATTAACCAGCTGAAGTGTTTAGGTTATAAAATTTGCATAAATATATGATACGATGCAACGCATAGTGCGATAAACCTCAGGACAGTAGATTAAAAAATACTTGCCTCCGTATTTTCCTTATCACTTCAAATAACACACTTGTAAATTATCACAATTTTTTCAAATAAACTCGAGGTAAACACTAAACCCGTAACGTAACGCAACTATCTAGTGATGTTTCACAGATACAAACATGAAATGTCAAAAACAATTGCTACTTGTAAGTCGATTCCATTTTCCATGTTTTAAGATTAATGAAAAGTTTATGTTTTTTTATAAGCTAGATAGCCGTTTCACCATATAGAATATATAATAGAATATGCTATTATTTCCATGTAAACCATATGACTTATCTAGTTGTTACAAAATTATGCAAATTGTCTAATATTAATTTATGTTTAAGCACGTCAATGAACTTGGCGAAATAAAAATAAATTAGAATAATTCCAAAACAAAACAACACAAAAACTTAGGAACTTTAACAAAAACTGAGATATACAGTTTTTGTGTTTCTTTCTTGTAAATCTTTTTTATCATATAAAATAAACAAAATTATTTGGTACCTCGAAGATCAATATAAAAATCTCAGAAGTCGATATGTTGACATATAATTAATTTTAACTACTACAGATTAATCCTTAATACATTTCTGTAAATAAATTTAAATGTCAAATTTTTATTTTAGAATACACGCCAGTGTAATCGAGTGATTTAATAATGGTGTACAACACTAAACATGTTGAATGCCCCTGTTTATGGTGGCAGGGGGAAAAGCTCTGTCCACCAATAGGAATACAGCAACTGGTCGGAAAAGGTGGCGTGATGTCTACGTCACCGACTATTATAGCTAGCTAGCTATAACATAATGGTACATAAAGGTGTAAAAGAAAAGTATCTCGGTACACACGATGTGTTCAAGTTTAATCAATATCTAAGTTATGGAAAAAAATAATATCAATGGATTAAAATCTGCTATGCTTTAGCAATCAACTGATTTATTAATTTTTATTGATGTCCAAGTGATAATAAAAAAAAATGAATAGCAATGTTCCGCACACTAGCGACATCTGTTATCTCTCTTTAGTCCCTTTCTCATTTTAGTTATTACCAGCTGCATCCGCAACTTCGTCCGCGTGGAATATTACTTTATTTTTCTAAAATAAAAGTAGTCTAAGTTACTCCTTATTACATCAGCTGCCTGCCAAAAAATTCCCGTCAAAATCCGTCCAGCTATTTCAGAGATTAGCCGGAACAAACAAACAGGCAGACAGACAAAAATTGTAAAAATGTTATTTTGGTGTATGTACCGTATTTATATTCATATGCAAGTAGTAACAAACGGTTATTTCAAATTTACAAACAGACACTCCAATTTTATTTATATGTATAGATGTATAGATAATGATTCAGTTTGGCGTCTGGTTTGTTTTATTTTTGTTTACGCTACTATTTAATTAGGTAGTTTAACATCAAATGCACATTGTATTATTATTTTGTGTAGATGTTATTCATAGCACTGTAACCATCTGCCTACTCCGACATTACCATTAGGTAGTTCAAAACTGGGAGATATGACACTAAAAGCTATATCTATTTCAATTTATATTCTTAACTAACCCTCTGTGGATGGAAGGGGATGGGTTAGTTATTTGGACTGTTAAACTCATTGCTAGCAATGTGTTTAACAATCCAACGAGGGAACCCTCATGATAAATTCCTGGTGAATTTGTCACAATGGTCTAACTGACCTGTACTCATGCTCATTTTATCATTCTCCATTGGTAAAGGTCTCCAGCGTATACCATCGCATCGCTCGCCATCGACAGGGAATTCATTCCCACACGCTGGAACCTAAGTGGTCTCGGACAGTGCGGTTTCAGAGGAGCTTCCTTCCGTGTACACTTAGATTGTGGAATGAATTTCCTGCCGAGGTCCCAACATGGGGGTTTTTCAACAACGCGCACGTGACACCCCTGGTGCTTCAGGCGTCCATAGGCTACGGTAATCATTTACCATCAGATGGGCCGTATGCTAGTTTGCCACTATAATAGTATAAAAAAAAATTGCGTTGGTTGGTGCACCATTCCATTATCACCCATAAGACCTACTATTAGCACGGCTAAGTCGTGAGTTTAAATCTGGGGGACATGACACTAAAAGCTGTACCTATTTGAATTTATATTCTGAACTGATTCTCTTTTGTTTTTTATTAGTTAAGCCCTTATTTCTATAGACTGAAGATCCATGCCCTTTTTTGTATTATTTTTTATTGATTCTTGTTACTTATTAATTTTTTCCTCGTCTTTATTGATCCGTGAATAATATGCAAAGTGGCAGTTAATCTATTTGTTTTATTTTTTTTAGTATATTTTTAAATTTTCTTTATCTTTTTTTCTTCTCGTTATTTACTCCCTTTCTTACCATATCATCTTTCACACAGTCCATCCATTTTTCGGCCTTCCTCTGCCCTTACAACCATAAACATTCATATGTAACACCTTCCTTAAAATATTACCTTCTTTCTTCTTTCATTTAAATATTACATTACGTGCCCATTCCACGCAAAGCAGATATAGTATATGATTGACATTTTTAGCACCACTATGTCAACATGACAGTGCAAGAAATTATACTTAATTATTACTAATATATCCTGTTTACACTTTAAATCATAAACTTAATCCATGACGTTGGCAACATCACCGATCAAAAGTGGTAGCGTCCATTCAAAATAAAGAAGAAGACGTATTTGATAAACTATCATCAATATATAGTATAAAACAAAGTCGCTGTCGCTGTCTATCCGTCCCTATATATGCTTAAATCTTTAAAACTACGCAACGGATTTTTGAAGCGATTTTTTTAATAGCGGATATAATAATTCAAGCGGAAGGTTTATATATATATATATATATATATATATATATATATATAATACATCTACCCGTGCGAAGTTGGGGCGAGTAGCTAGTTTAAAATAAAGAAGAAGAAGAATTTGATACAATATGTTCAAACACTATAAAGATTTGAGCGATGTGGTGTCGTTGCTGGTGTTCTGCCCGTCGGACCGGTCGTATCTGGTGAGCAAGGAACCGAGCGGCGAATACTGGATACCGTCCAGCAGGACCGAGAACAACTCATGGAAGATGACTGCGCACAAAATTAACTTTGAGGCTAGTAGCAATTTATTTTGGCCAATATATATTTAAAGGACACTTAATCAAAAGCGGTAAAAGGACCCGTTTCAGCGTATGTATCCTATTGGCTTTGTGCAACGCTGGCTTTCAACCGGATCCTTTTCTTCCAAATTTGAACATAATCTATGCTAACAATAATTAAATTACAGGACACAGAAGCATGGCATCTTAGTCCTCTGGAAATCAAATTCAAAATATTTTTACCCATTACAGACTCTTACGATATGTCAAATCTACCGTCAATTCGGAATGATTCCGAGATGAGAACTGACAAGAAACTCAGCTCGTATTCTTTTCAAATAAATATTGTACATGTTTACAATAATACAGATTAAATTTTAAATACAAATTTGGGTGAATAGAGTGACCACCGGCATATGCTATTGCAAAAGTAAATGGTCTAATCAGTGTTCGTAACCCGAACAGATCAGTCCCTACAAGCAAGACCCATTCACGAGTAGGACGACTGAGCCAGCCATCATTGGAATAGATAGATAGATAGATAGATAAAAAGCTTTATTTTTCAAATTTTACATATTATTATTCTACTATCCTGCAAAACTCCTGTCGGGGTTTGTCTGCAGGCACGTAGTTCTCTCTTATCTACTTACAATAGGTACATGCTTATATATTATTTTAGATAGTATTTTAACGTACACATAAAATACAGTATTCCGTTTTACAATATTTAAGTATTAAATACTATTAAATAAGGACAAGATTTTTTTTTTTTTTATGTGATGTTATATGTGAATGGCAACGTATGCGTTATATCACGGGCGTCACACGTTAATGTGATGTCCGTGATGCTATTCATGTAAGAGTAAATGGACTACCATTTGCCATCAGTACTGTATAGTTATAATAAAAAAATAGGGTCACACTAGTCCCTATTACAATAGATAAGAGAATATTACAAGTACTATGCTTCTTTCTCAATTTTTCATTACGTGTGGAAAAATCTTCACCGAGATTATCCGAGGACTATTCGCCGAGGAAGGATCTTGATGTACAAGCACGGTACCTCAAGGTACCGTGGCCATTAAGTTACGTTAACATAATGTTCGCACTCATGGAGACCGTCTGTCTTAGGGGTAGGACGGACGGGTACTGCAAGAGCCCTATTCACTAAAACCCCACGGCATTCCTACTTACATAGTATTCCCCCTTCTGCAGAACTCCTCTTGGAAGGAATGCATGGAGGGAACTTTTCCTAGTGTCCTCGCCTCGTCCCACCATGGGAGAGACGCACCGGAATACGGGACGTACCTCCCCCATCTCGGCTCTTATTTGTGGACGACATACTTGAAACGTCTCTACAGCGTTTAAAGTTAATATAGTCCCATCAATGTTCAGTTATTCGGCGTGGACGCTGGTTGCCAGTGTCAACCTTTACGGGTATACAAGATCTGGTTGCCGAATCACCCGCAGCAGAGCGTCTACCACGCCGTCTACAAGGTCACAGTAAAGTCTGATGTGAAGAAGAGGACCAAAGTTAAAGTACAGCAAATTTGACCACTGTTGATCGGTACTGTAACATTTTCGCTCTTAAGGAAGGCACCCTTACCGCATTTTCGCCTTATCGTCCTTCGGATAAGAATTCTCCTTCTTGGAACAGATTTTATATTGTAAGGAAACAAAGAAAAACGAACTGACCCGGCTAGGAAGTCGCTTTATTAATGGGTGGATTTTTTGTTTATGGTTTTATACAAATCTCCTCGCGGATCCCGACGCCGTGGCGCCTCTTGTACTTTACCACTGACGTTAAAAGTTAATTTTGTAAATTACGTGATGCGGTGTAATCTATAGGCGATAGTCACCTATTTCAGGTGCCAAGCGACTTCCTTTCCTTTCCTTCCTTTAGCGATTCGGTTTTTTTTATGATTGGTAATGGCATAGTTCACCCGCCTGCGCTAACGGTTTACGCGGGGTATTAATGGAGGATAATAAGATGAGCTGATGATGAGATGAGGTCAGGTCAGTTAGCGACAGTGACAAATTCATAAAGAAATTATCACAATGGTTTCCAGGGGAAACTGCGTGGAAGACAACCTGACATGGTACATTGCTAGCAGTAAGATCATCAGTCCACTTCCCCCCAAGGTTTTTCGGTCGGAGAATTAAATTGACCACCGCTTTTTGTACAATGGATCCTCGCATGGAACAAACGTTTGGAATTATGTCAGCTGGTTTTCAATTTTAGTTATGTAATAAAAACAATTATTGTTATAAAATTATGCTATGTCCATGTAGAGTCCTCGCAGTCGGCTGCAGTGGTTCAACACCGTTGAACTGGAGCGCCAGCGAGCACATTCCATGCTCCGCAGCCCCGAGGTGGCAGTATTCGCACAAATGGCGGCTGGTGACTCGCCCAAGAACTTGGAAAACGTAATTTTCCTCTTATCATTTTGTACCACTGCACGAATAAGTGAGAGGAAACCTAATAAAAATTTATTCCCAAAAGAAAAACAAATTCACCGTACCAGATAATCAGGGGTAAATATGAGAAACAAATATTTTTAGAGTATGCAACAGGAGTCCTTCAGTACTTTATATGAATAATAGTGTAAACATATACCCCGGCTTCGCATCTATAAACCTTCGTCTTGACTCACTCTGTCTATAAAAAAAAACCGCTTCAAAATCTGTTGCGTAGTTTTAAAGATTTAAGCATACATAGGGACGGACAGACAGCGACAGCGACTTTGTTTTATACTATGTAATAATTAAGTAGTGTACAATATAAAATAAGTAGAATAAAAAGCGTTTATATAAGTAGAAAAAGAACTGAGGAGTACACAAACAGGAATAAAACATAAGACAAAAACCATGTCGCCACAAAGAAAGTGTCAGATATTACTTTACTACTATACAATATAAACAACAACAAAAAAACGCAATTAATGACATTATTTTTATAAGGCAATAATTTCGATACTTGGAAACAGCAACACGAAGTTGCAGTTCAAACTGTTCAAAGCAGTTTTTTAATCGTTTCATTACTGAAAAAGCACTTCAAATGTTTCCTCTGCCAATTTCACGATCCTATCTATTCAGTAGGTGTTTTTTTAACTACGTAATAATACACTTTATAGCTATGTGATAAGATAAATCTTCAATCAACTAAATGCAGCATGTATACGTATCTACATATGTAGTTAGAGCACGATCTTATTACAAAAGTGTATAGACTCCGTTCTGGACATTATCCTTCCGCAAAGTTTGCATACCTGATGAAAATAAGCAATTCAAAAAATGTATAGTATCATTTGATGATGGAGTGTGTCAAGAACGAGGGTCTACGACATGGAATAACGTCAGACTACAAGATAAATTTATTGAATGTTGGTGCCGTATAAAGCGTCTTAGTCGATCTTCCAGACAATGCGGCTATGAGTTTTAGGGTACAATGGGACTGGCATGTTTTTTTAGTTTGTACAAAAGTCCATAAATTTAAAATAGGTAACAAAAAAGCCCATTTTTTTGTTGCTCAAAGTAGCATGAAAGATAAGTAGACTGTAGAATCTCGTCTGCGTGAAGTCTGCTAAAATAGGTGACACAGAAATTATATTATATGAAGTTCATCTAGTCCATACTTGCTTGTATGGACTGGATGATTGCTTGTATGGACTGGATGATTGCTTGTGTGGACTGGATGCTTGCTTGCGTGGACTGGATGTTTGCTTGCGTGGACTGGATATTTGCATACGTGTACTGGATGCTTGCTTGTGTGGACTACTGTTTACTTGTGTGGACAGGATGCTTGCTTGTGTGGACTGAATGCTTGCTTGGGTGGACTGGACAATTGCTTGTGTGGACTGGATGCTTGGTTGTGTGAACTGGATGCTTGCTTGGGTGGACTGGATGCTTGCTTGTGTGGACTGAATGCTTGCTTGGGTGGACTGGATGCTTGCTTGTGTGGACTGAATGGAAAATGTTTGGGTATTATATAGTATCGTACAGATATTATGAAATTTCCAGGAAATGGAGTCTGGTACTCTAATAGAGATCTGCGAAGAGAACATCCTCATTGGCGTGGATGGTGCCGGCGGCGCGGTCTCCCTCGCATCCCCCAACTACTTACTTCTACACGCTGCTGGTTACACTAAAGATGGTAACATGTATAAAATTATAACTGTAACATGTAAAACTAATGATCAGCAACTATGTTAGCCTTACCACAGATAAGATAATATTATGTAGTCTTCCTAACATTATAAACGCGAAAGTTTGTGACTTTGGATGTATGGATAGATGTTGTTATTACTCTTTCACGCAAAAACTACCGAATGGATTTCGATGATACTTTACAGCAATATAGTTAATGCGTCAGATTAACACATAGACTGTATTTTTTATTGACATATACACATTAAAAATTAACCGCGGGCATAGCTAGTAAAGAAATAAATTATTCTTAATATGCTTGTCTGTTGGCCTATCCATTTGTTCAGGTCAATCTCAGAAACTGTTTAACCGAACCTTAGCTTTTGCGTGAAAGAGTAACAAACATCCATACTTACAAACTTTCGCATTTATAATTTATTTATTTATTTATTAAAGGAAAACCAAGGCTATTCAAGTATATCTTAAATAAAATCAATATATATGTCATAGTAAGCCACTGACAGGCTTTCACTAATAACAATAGACTAATTCTTAAAAAATTTACATCACTACGTATAAAGGGATTATAAAGTTAACAGAGAATATGAAATTAATTAACAAGAGTACAGTAACAAATAGTAAATTTATAGTAATATATACATATACATGATTTTCAATAATAATTAATTGTTATTTAAAGAAGGGCTCACTTAGTTGGTGTCTCGTTGATTTAATATTATTACAAAATATATCTATATTAACAACATTTATGTTCAACAATCAATATTAATAAGATTTATGTTGTATAGCATAATTATGATATAATAACTTCACGCACATAATATGTTACCTTGTTAGGTATGACAACATGGAAGATAGGCGAACGTTATACATTTATATGAAAAAGATTTTGCTACAAGTACCTATGTAATACAAGCACCGCCGTCTTAAACTAGGCTTAGGCCCTTGGGCACAAAAATTCGGGGCTCTTTTGGAAAGTAAAAAAAAAGCTCATTAGGTATAAGAAAAGGTGAAAAAATCTTTTGAGAATAAATGCGTGAGCAAAATTGCCAGTCCAGGGGTCACCTGTGAACGGGGACCCTGGGCACGGGCCCCGTTTGCCCTTATGGTAAAGACAGTATTGAATACAAGGTATCTATGATTTGCAGGCAGGTTTTGAAAACTCTAGGAAAGAACAGTATGAAAAAGTTTGGACTACGCTTGAAAAAATTACAAAATTACAAAATTACAAAATTAACTCTATGGGAATAGCGATATAAATACAGAAATATCGATAAATGGTCTTTATCTCTGAATAGTAAAAATCGCTTGACTAACTGATTGACATTATCATCGTATGACTTAAGCTGAATTATTTCTAGAAATGACATGCACCGAATTACAATAGGCATTTCTCAAGATAGAATGTTCTAGAATCTAGTTCATAGTAGGAGGAAGGAAGAGGTTTGTTGGTAAATAGCTAGAAATATAGACTGGGATAGTCTATATTTCTTCTAGATTCTAGAACATTCTATCTTGGGAAATGCCTATTGTAATTCGGTGCATGTCATTTCTAAGAATAATTCAGTTTAAATCATACGATGATAATGTCAGTTGGTTTTCCACGCTGATAGTTATAGTAGTTAGTTAGCCACAATGGACTGAATTACCGAACTTCTTCCCTTCTGTTAGCTGCCTTTACACGTATGCTCTTTTATGCACGACTCGCCTTTCACGCATGAAAGACTGAGCATGTAAATGTAGAAAAAGAGAAGGAGAAAGACCGCGCTCGCCGCCGCCAGTAAGCGCATTCCCGCGTCCTACAATCGTGCGTGTTTTGGCGCCATTTTTATCATTGCAAAATGGCGGACGTCTGCTAGTACACGATTTTGTCAATTATATCTTCCCGGTCGAGAATTTCTAAGATTGTTAAGAAGGTTGTGTCATGAAAGTCAGCTGCGGTTCCGATAGTGGGTTGGTCCAACGCAAACATGTGAAATATACACATCCAGTTGAAATTGCTAACAAGACATAGTAAAACCTATATATGGAAGGTAGAAAAATTATAAGCAGCTAACTTTTTTCGGACTACTCTAATATTGTTAGCCGCAGCTGGCCTTTACAGCTTCACAGGACGTTAGGGGGCACACCACTGCAAACCCACGGAAGGATTCTACATCAGCTGACACCATGAACATGTAAAAAATCAATGATTTCCTCTCCTTCAGTCTCCTAGAGTCGCCTCAAATGGCGTAGGTTATTGGAGACAAATCAAGACCTCCTAAAGAGACGATGATGCTGCTGAAAATCACACTCTACCCGCGACGTAACTTTAACCACATCTGTTCATAGTCTTTAACTGATTGCAGGATGGACACAGAAAAAAAAATTCTTCTCACCATAAATTTACGAGTATATAAATTACCTATTGTTTTCTGCAGATCAGATACGCATGTACCGCGAGTTCTTACTCCTGGTGTACCCGGCACTGTATATGAGTCCGCACGTGTTCACGCATTTCATGCTGGAGCTCGGCTGGCAGCGGACACAGTGTCCCAGTCTCTTCAGGTCACCACCATTACTAATATACTATTGTCTTGTTATTGGTCAGGTTTCCGCACTGTATATATTAGGGATGGAATTTATCAAAATCCTTTCTTAGGGGATGCCTACGTCATAGTAGCTTTATGCATGCAAAGTCTCAGCCCGATCGGTTTAAAATTGACAAAGTCTCATACAAACTTTCATCCCCTATTTTATCCCCTTGGGGGTAGAATTAATCAAAATCCTTTCTTAGCGGATGCCTACGTCATAACATCTACCTGCATGCCAAATTTCAGCCCGATCCGTCTAGTGGTTTGGGCTGTGCGTTGATAGATCACTATGTCAGTCACCTTTGAGTTATATATATTTAGATAGTAAAAATAATACTTATATAGGGCAGCGGATGTAACCGGTCGCGGGGGACTGTCTTTCCTGGAGACGATGCTGTGGACGGCCGCTCTGGAGCCAGCCACGCCGCACAGCGGAATACCAGCTGAGATCCGCTGTCGTTATATATTCAGGTAAATCCGGTGAATTCACTGGTAGACGCTGATAGAAATAACTTTCTGAATAGTTACAGATTTAATATTTATGTTATCGGGATACTGTTGGAAACTCCAACAAAAGTAAGTATTAAAACCTCTTCAATCATTTATTTAATAACTAGGTGTTCCTGAAACTTCGTCCGCGTGGAATTTCACCTTATTTTTCTAAAGTTACTCCTTATTACATCAGCTACCTGCCATAAAAAGTCCCGTCAAAATAGGTCCAGCACTTTCAGAGATTAGCCGAAACAAATAGAAGACAGACAAAAATTGTAATAAATGTTATTTTGGTGTATTTATGTATCGTATTTATATTTATATGCATGTAGCAAAAAATGGTTATTTCAATATTACAAACAGACACTACAATTTTATTTATATGTATAGATATTCAAATACATAACGCTGTGTTTACATGATTACAAGTGTCTTTTGTTTCATATTCTTCAATATTTGTTACACCGCTGATAATATCGAAATTATTATAAAATATATATATATATATAATTATAATAATTATAATTTAATTAACAACTTTTCAACTATTACATCCACGCACCTCGTTGAGATTCACACAGATACTACTCCCATTGTTACATTTTTCCTTTTTATCCCTCAATTCCTCATGATCTAATGAACTTTACTTTGTATTAGCATTTATCCCTATTCAGAATAAGGGATGATAATGAATAATGGACGATAATGAAATGAATCATCCAGATAATGAATAAATTCACCAGAAATTGTAAAAACTCATCTTTGTGTATCGCAGTACATATTTCAGTGGACAAGCAGCCGACTTTATGAGCTATGTTTCGGTTGTAGGTTCAGGTTAATAATAATAATAATCCTAAATAATTCACACAACGCCATCTAGTCCCAAGTTAAGCAGAGTTTATGTTATTAGTTCTAAACAACTGATATAAATATTTACATAATATACATAGTAAACAGACCGATACAAACAATCATACTCATAAATACAAATGCTGGTATCGTGCTGGAAATCGAACCCGCGACTATCGAAACTAAAGCGGAGTGCTGAACCATTAGACCGAACCCGTCAAGATGAGGCAGTGAAATTAGAAAAAAAATAAACACCCGACTAATTAAAACAAAATTCAAATTCAAATTCAAATTTTTCAAATTCAAAAATCATTTACTCATGTAGGACATTTTAGCCGCTTATGAACGTCAAATTTTTACATTATAATTTTATTTTTTTTCCTACCGTCCAGTTCGGTATATAGATCCAATTGAGAAGAACTGGCAAGAAACTCAATTGAATTACTTTTTTTTTTAAAGCCAGCTTATTTACAATGTATATTTATATAGGTGTCTATGTCTAACATTAAATGAAAATTCAGTGCATGAACAACTATTGCCATGCACACTCGTCATTCAAGTAATCGTTTAGTGAGTAATAGGCTTTGCTCAGTAAATATGATTTAACAGATGTTTTGAATTTATTTAATTCCAACATATCCTTTGGTATCTTATTGTAAATTTTTATACCTATTCATGGGAATAGGTATAAAAATTTACAATAAGATACCAAAGGATAGGTCTTTTATGGAAAAGACCTATTAACTTTTTCTAAACGATACTTGGGGACAGCAAGTTTGTCTTTAAATCTTGTATTAATATTATGAATATTGCTGTTTTTTGGAAATAAGTCAAGATTTTTATGAACATATAGGATATTTGAATATATAAATTGAGAAGCAACGGTGAGAATATTTGCCTCTTTGAATTTCTCTCTTAATGAGTCACGACTCTTCATACAGTAGATCGCTCAAACGGCACGTTTTTGTAATATGAATATATTTTTAATATCTGCCGCTTTTCCCCATAGTAATATTCCATAAGAGAGTAAACTATGAAAATAACTAAAACAGACTAATCTAGCAGTATCAGTATCAGTGTACTGTCTAACCTTACGCACGGCAAAAGCTGCTGAACTTAGTTTCGCTGCAAGGCTTTGAATTTGTGCACCCCATTGTGTTTTATTATCTAGTGTGATTCCTAGAAAGACAGTAGATTCTATAAATTCGAGAGATTCGTCATTTAATTTAATATTGCAATTAGTATTAAAACTTTTAGACAGAGAGAAATTAACACATTTTGTTTTTTTAGCGTTTAACATAAGATTGTTAGTTGTAAACCAGTGCAGGAGACGTCGCAAAGCACTATTTACATCGTCATAATTATTAGTCATTCTATTAACTTTAAAAATCAATGAAGTATCGTCTGCAAATAATACTATGCCGCATCTATCCTGCATGGCATATGGGAGATCATTAATGTAAACTAGGAATAAAAATGGACCGAGAATAGATCCTTGAGGTACACCCATTTGCACAAGTGACCCGTCAGACGTAGCGTTGCTAACCTTCACTTTCTGTATTCTATCAGATAGATAAGATTTTATTAAATTTAAAGCATTGTCTTTGACGCCATAAAAAGCAAGTTTTTTTAGCAATGTATTATGATCAACGCAATCAAAAGCCTTAGAAAGGTCACAAAAAACACCTATCGCATCCATTTTAGTTTCCCATGCAGCAAATACGTGTCTAAGCAACTCTGCATCTGCGTCTGTAGTTGAACGACCTTTGGAAAAACCGAATTGACTATTGTGAATTAAATTATATAAATTGAAATAACTGACAAGCTGCATAAGGATTATTTTTTCAAAAATTTTACTGAGTGCTGGGAGTATAGATATAGGTCTATAATTTATTGGGTCACTCCTATCTCCAGATTTAAAAAGCGGTATGATTTTACTAATTTTCATTATGTTAGGAAATTTACCTTCATCTATACATTTATTGAAAATAAAAGCAAGAGAGGGCGCAATAATTTCCATTATACTATTCAGTATTTTAACAGATATACCCCATAGATCCTCTGTTTTTTTATTATTAAGCTGTTTGAATATTTTCATTATTTCTACTGATGATGTATGTCTAAAGTTAAATACAGCTGATGACTTGCTAACATTGTCTGTTAGTAAAGTTTCAGCAGCAGACGGGGAAGATTTTAGAGCCTGTGTCGTAATTAATGAAATATTAAGATAATGTGTATGATTGCTGTATCGGTCTGGGTGTTTTTTTGCTATGTATGTAAGGTATGTATTTACGAAAAAAAAATTCTATGTATTTGTATCAGTTATCAACTACCCATAACACAAGCTTTAGCTAGCTTTTGGTTTTTTATTGAATGATAATGGAGTGATGCTCCCACCTGCGCTAACGGTTTACGCTGGCGGGGCACCAGTGGAGGATGATAAGATGAACATGAAGTCAGGTCAGTTAGCCCATGGTGGTTTCCAGGGGGAACCGCGTGGAGGTCAACCTGACATGGTACATTGTTAGCAATGGGATCATAAGTCCACATTACTAACAATCCCCTTCCCCCCAACTTTAGCTAGCTTAACTTGGGTCTAGATGGCGCTGCGTGAATTGTCTTGAGATTATTATTATTAATTTACATCGATCCCAAGTCTGAAGGGTGGGACTGATGAAAGCTATATTCTGTAGGTACTTCGATAGTAACCGAGACATGAAGCTGGAGTATGTGGAGTTCAAGGAGCTGGTGGGAGCAGCGCGCGCCGCCCGACAGTTGCCGGTGGACGCGCTGAGCGTGTCGCGAGATGCTGACATCTGCTTACGGTAGGGTTGCCAACTCCAAATTAACTGAAATTGGAAGTTGATGCTTTTAGAGATTTTTACAAACTTTTTATAAATAAATGTCATCTTACATATATATAAAATTCTCGTGTCACAGTTTTCGTTCCCATACTCCTCCAAAACGGCTTCACCGATTCTCATGAAATTTTGTGAGCGTATTGAGTAGGTCTGAGAATCGGCCAACATCTATTTTTCATCCCCCTAAATGTTAGGGGTAGTCCACCCCTAATTTTTTTTTTATTTTAAGGCAAAACAGCGTTTGCCGGGACAGCTAGTATTTATATATATTTAATCAACAGCCTAGGTATCAAGCTTCTATCTTTATTATTTTTTTTAGATATTTCCATACAATCTCTATCTACTCTTTCGACTCCTTACGTGTTGTAATGGGACGAATGGGGAGATGAAAGATTTTTCGCATTAAAAAGTATGTTATATCCTTTTTCAGGGTCTAGAATATCTGTGTACCAAATTTCATTTAAATCGATTCAATAGTTTTTGCGTAAAAGCAAGGCAATTTATTTTAAAAATTTAATTAAATATTTACGCTGGGAGTGGAGTATGATAATATGAAAATGAGGTCAGGTCCCATCGTGACAAATACACCAGGAATTTATCATGATGGTTACCAGGAGGAACCCCATGGGCAGTCTACATTACTAACAATTCTTACATACATACTAACCTTCTCCCTATGTCTGTATTATATATATATATATATAAAGAAAATCAATGTATTTGTATCAGTTGTCTAGTACCCATAACAAGCTCTGCTTACCATGGGTCTCAATGGCGCTGTGTAAATTATCCAAAGATTTTTATTTGTGTTGAGAATAGGCAAGTCATGGTTTAGAGATCCATTTTGTAACAATTCAGTAACAAGCAGCATGTCCACAGTGTGACACAGAGTCTCACGGTCACCTCGTATCTAACATTATCTATATCTTAGACGGAGAATTAGTTATCTTATCACTGTATAACATGTCTACAGTCTACAACTAAAACGGTAAATGCATTACGTGTACGCATTAGACAAAAATAACTCATAACAATACTTTTCGTGAAAATTAAAAAAAAATAGCAACTTTCACACGTGGTATCTCACGCTAGCCTGTCATAGATATAGTTAGATTAATAATAGACAGTTTCTGATCTTATTTTTTTTCGAGGCGAGGTAAAATCTAAAAAATTATTAATTAAATTAAACCATTATACACCTCCGTCCTCTCTCTCCGGCCAACGTTTTTGCAATATACATATTAACATACAATTTGTCCAATTAGTATTGCTGTAAATTATCCTGTCTTTTTAATAACTATATCTGTTTCAAATTGAACACAAACTGTTTACTTGACGCCCGTCTGTTAGTAATGAAGTTATATTTATCTGCCAAGTTCGAATTTGCAGCCCGGAGCATGGTCCCCGTATTTGTCCCCCCTAGATCCAGAGCTGTTTAGTCATAGTTATTTATTCATAATACAATAATACAACTGTTTTTGTACATAAATACAAATCCATAAATAATTTTTGTTATGTAACCTGTTTGGGAAACTACTCTGCTACCAAAATGTTCGGGAAAACGGTAGGTCACGTACCTGTATGGTTCTGCGGATTTCTTGGGCTTCAGGGTCTCGAAGATATCTTCGCTAGCTTTCACACACTTTCACAGTAGGTTTCACAGTTCTAATTTATTTTAATTCACAACAAATGTGCGCGCGCGTCAAGGCCGCTGTACGGTCCGTTTGTTGTGAAGGGAACGCGCGGGAACACAAACTAACGGACTCTAATATCATAATCTGTGCTTACGATGATACCGGGTAGATTTTGAACATAACCATAACATTAATTTGTTAGTGTTCTTGGTAAAGTAATTTGCGTTTTTCTCCGACAGACGATTTAATCGCATTTTTTCGAACACAACTTCAAAGTCGCATTTATAATCATTATATGGTTTAAGAGCTGATATAGCAAGGCTTGTATATGGTAAAAAGTTTAATTAATTCTATGCAGTAGTTTTATGGTGCTCCTTTAAATATGGAGAGAAAAAAACAGCATTTTCGTCATGTGTTTACTTAAAAATGCTGTTCAAGCAAGAAATTATGTAATGGTAGATGTGCAAATAAATAAATAAAATCATTTCCCCTTTCTCTCTTTTGTATAGTATATATCATCTGTTTCTTTCGACAAATAAAAAAGGTGCAGACAATAATTTAATTATCACAGATCGTCTATCTCCATCATTGTGGACAAAATTTTCCCATTCATTTCCTTTATTCCGTAAGCGACCTCACGTAAAGATTGTTCTAAAAAAGTGCTCGTTCCACAGACAACTGGGTTTGCAGCCGAATGCACAACTCCCTTTGGCCGAATTCTTGCGAGGAGTGGGAGAGCTTCATCTGAGAGGGACAAGTTCTCTATTGCGGGCACCGAAGAGCATAGTTGCATATCTGCTAGATCTACAGTAAATTGATATAAACTTACATAGATATTTTTAAAAAAATAGTTACTCCATATATTGCCTTTTGCAATAAATAAATCAATAGTTTAAAACATGAAGTTTTGCTGGATTAAAGCTTGCAGGCGCAGATATTGTAATAGTATTTTTATATATCTTACTTTCGATGGTGGCGTGTTTGTTTCCTTGCAAGGTGCAAACATTTGTATTCATGAGTATGATTGTTTGTATCGGTCTGGGTATTTTATATATATATAAAAAAAAAATATTTACCTCTTATTATTTACCATACAATTATTCTTTTTAAGACTCGGAGAACAATATTGTGCCCACACTTGTAATATTTCTGTCGACACTTGAGAGCCTTCCATTAGTTTACGTCAAAGATAATTTAAGTGTGTAAAATCAGTCTACGCCTCGACTCCGCGTCGACTAGACGCGTTATTAATAAACCATGTAGCACTCTACCAATAAACTTACTAAATAGTGCAATCATTTTACCGGTATACTCACTACCTACATACTACAACAAATAATATAATATATAGCGCCACCTCATTACAACATATATATAACGCTACAGTGCTGAGGATAACCACGCCGCAACAATATAAAAGGTAAATTTGCCTACCCTGCACTGGACTTACCGTCAGGATTAGGCAGTAAAATTATACCAATAAACTTAATAATGTTTACTAAATAGTGCAATCATTTTACTGGTATACTCACTACCTACATACTACAATTAATAATATATTATGTACCGCCACCTCATCACAACATATATAACGCTACAGTGATGAGGATAACCACCGCACTACAATATAAAAGATAAAATGGACTTCTGCAAAAGAACATGTAATTCGTTAAAATATATAATATGTCTTTAAGAATACGTATGTTCTTTAATATCAGATTTAATATTACAGAGATCAAGACACTGCAGTTAATGTAACTTCTCCCTGTTCTTCAAAAATGCTAGCGCCTACAAGTAAGAATACAATTGTTATGTAGATGCGATTAATTTCTTGACTAAGATGTTGTAGATTTGATATGTGCGGGAATTAGTAAATGATGAACGCATGAATTCGACGTCAGGTCTTCTTTTTTCCTTTATGTGTTTTACTGATATTATTATTTCCTATTAACATATTGACTTCAGCTGCGATTTGATACAGCAGAAGTTTCCGTAGGACTAATTATTTTTATTTATTTGTATATTTTATATTTGTTGTTATCTTATGTGTTATGTATCTTTTTTAAACCATTAACTATTGTTTTAGCAAGTGCATCATAAGATGCTAGAGTTTTCGGCTTCGTAATAATGCTGGACAAAGTAAGGGGAGTCAATTGTTGGGTTGAAGTCAGGTCAGGTTTAACTACCTCGGTGCTCTAGCATTTTACCACAACGCTTATGAGTTTAGTGCGAACAATTCATGGCCATGTAATTCTGGAAACTCTTGGTGTAATCAACATAACACGGTCAGTGACTGGTAATGTGAATTGGACTATTTTCCGAAATCAGCCTGTCGTCTGGACCGTTGTACTCGTACATGCAGGAACTGGTTGCCCCTCGAATGTGCAGCTGGAAAGAGAACGTGGCTACAAATTCGGCGTACCACCACCAAGGCTTAGCCACAGTTTTGTAATAAAGTAAATGTAAATATAATTAAGAGTATCCACTTATGATCCAAGATGCCGTTACTGGATAATGTAAAAGGCGCTGTTAAGATTTTATTTGGTCAAACAGAATGTTTTGTATCTGAGATTTAATGCGATCTGTTTTTATTCTGTTCAGTTGTTGTAAGAATATACCAACCATCTGCACCTATATTTACCTGTACATCGTTGACTTGGTGTGAACGAGTAGCTGGTCAACAGTGCCTTCTTTTCTTCTCCTGTAGTTTCTCACCATTCATTCATAATTTAAGAGAGATGCTCTTGCCACTTTCCACGATCTTCCATCGTGCTCTTTGAATGTTGATACGACACGACTCCCATTTTGTCTTTAATTAGTTTGATGTAGCTGTGTCTTAGTATCCCCTTTCCCCTCTTTCTTTCTTTCCTAGTAGTTTCTCCCATTGTTTAATATTTGAGTGACAATATTAACCAATTCTTCCACAAATATCAGGGTCTCGTCACCCATATCAAATAACTAGGACGAGAAATAATTATGGGTATCTATAACTTAAAAAAAATCTTTTAGGTGCAGCCCCTACTGTTGGAGCAGAGATTGCTCGGGGGGGCAGCTCGGCACGTGGGCCGCAGGCGCAGGCCGAGTACTACGTGGCTGCGCATACGATTCGCCTGCGGCGCCACACGCCGTTAGAACTGCTCCAAATCGCGCACTACGACGGTTAATACCTTTTGTTTTTACTTGTGGAATCCTCAAAAGACCGTCATCCCGTTGGTGGGATGGCGGGGCGCTGTGTGGGAGGCTATTCGATTGGGGTACTGCCTACGACGGTTAATATCTACTGTTACACGACACGTTTTATCATTATCATCGTGAGAGATTGCATTTTACTATTTTTATTGTGACTTCTTCGTGGGTGATAAATAAAATCTAAAATGTGATATTAAATAACGCTGAAGATTTCTCTCATTTCATTATCTTTTAAAATTATATTTTTTATTCCACTTATTTTATTTTTCACGTGCGAAAAAGTAAAATTCATTTCATTTCCAAAGACAAGTTTAAGATTTATAAATTATCAATAACTCTTTAATTATGTATTTGCTCCATAGTCAGATGTCCGCCATTTTGCAATGATAAAATCATTACAAAATGGCGAAAAGCGAATGATACACTCTATGATAGACGGTGGAATGGGCGAATGGACGGATCTAACGAGTCGGGTCGTCTACCTAAGACGATGTAGAATGGGGCCTCGGGAACACCTCTTTGCCCTGGCGCCAAATACGGGGTGTTGCCCCTGGATTGGATGCCAGGGACCCCAGGGACTGGGCTTCAGCTTTTTGGGTGGGAAACTTATATTAAAAATAGACTTATCATAGAAAATAAGTACAGTTTAACCTAACCTAGGAACTAGAGTCACTTTAAATGTAGTTTTATTAAAATCTTATGCCGATAGAGGACACTGTGAGCGCGTCGACAGCGCGTCTCTTCAACAATGCTGTAACCTCGGTGGAAGTGCTGGGTCCAGCGACGACTCCAACAGAAGCGCTCACAGCTGTGCACTACTTCGCTACTGCCATTGAAAAAATACCACACGTAACTTCATTTTTTCTCACCCTACTATAATGCCGCTGGCCTTTACAACTTCACCGGACGCCCCTATCGTCCAGGTACAGATGACATTCCAAACTTGTGGAAGGACTTATGGAGCGGCTGAAGATCAACTCCCGCCTGACGGAAACGACTTAAGTGTGAGGGCACCGCTAGGGAAGGCACCGAAGAACAGGCAGTCAAACTATGTCCGACTCGTAATCACAACCTTAATTAATGACGGCCTCGGTGGTCTAGCGGTTTAGCACACCGCTGTGCATCCGATAGTTGCCGGTTCAACCCTCACACGGTACAAACATTTGAATTCATGTGTTTTGTCTGTATCGGTCAAGGTATTTTTTATGGATGATAATGGAATGGTGCATCTGCCTGCGCTAACGGTTTACGCTGGCGAGCCACTAGTGAAGGATGATAGGATGAGCATGACGTCTGGTCAGTTAGCCCATCGTGACAAATTCACCAAGAATTTATCACGATGGTTTCCAGGGGTGGAGGTCAACCTGACATGGTACATTGTTAGCAATAATATCATTAGTTCATATTACCGAAACTGAACCCAACCCCCAAAATGAAAGTATCTTTGTATTTATATCAGTTGTCTAGTATCCATAACATAACTTCGGCTTAGCTTGGGACTAGACGGCGCTGTGTGAATTGACCAAGGATATTATTATTTATTATACCTACAGAGAAAAAACTCTGTAAGCAGTACAGTAGCGACAAGTAAGCCGGCGTGGTCGTGGCTGACTCCAGCCGAGGAGGCGAACTTTGGTTCCTTACTGCTAAAACTTGCTGAAGCGGTCCTTCCGATCTGCGCTGCGGAACCGAGACTACTCCGCATCACCTCGCCGGTTTATGCTATTGGTAAACTTTATGTTCTTTATTCACTTCTTTTGTAAAGCAGCTGAGTAATGAATAGTAAGCTATCCAATTTCTACAAGTATTCAATGTACGGAATACATGTGAATACTGAAGTTTCCTGGGTGTCAGGGACGGGAAAGTTGCCCGAGCGAGAGCGGTGCGCGGCAACACACGCTGGAGCGCGCATGTTATTCGGATGGGCGCGCGAGTAGTGGTAGTTCTGGGTATCAATGACGGAGAAGTGGCCAGAGTGAGAACGATGCGTGGAAGTTGTCCTGGGTATCAGTGTCAGAGAGAGGGTCGAGTAAGAGCGGTGCGTGGAGTGCGTCCTGGGTGTTAGCGACGGGGAGTGGCTAGAGTGAGAGCGGTACAAGGAAACGCGTGAATGCGCGTTTTTCGGATGGGCGCGCGTGGAAGAGGTTCTAGGTATCAAAGACGGGGGAGTGGCCCCAGAGTGGGTACGCGTGGAGTGGACCTTCGGTGTCAGTGTCGTGGAATGGCCAGAGTGAGAGTGGAGAATGAGCATGGAGTGGGTCCTACGTGTCAGTGTCGAGGGAGTGGCTCGAGTGAGAGCACTGACACCCAGGGTCCACTCCACGCGTACCCAGAAATCTTACTCGGCTCGGAGTGACCTGAGTGAGAGTGGCTTGTGGAGTGAGCTCGGTGTCAGTGTCAGGGTGGCCTGAGTGAGAGTGGTAGACCCTCGTGGTGTGGGTTCTGGGTGTAAGTAGGGGTAGTGCGCGGTGGCAGGCGACCTGCACGGCAACCTGAGCGCACTTCTGGCGATGGAGGCGGCGCTGTGGGCGGGCGGCGCGGCGCTGAGCCCGGCGCGGCTGCTGCTGCTGGGCGACTACGTGGACCGCGGGCCGCACGCCGCCGAGCTGCTGGCGTACCTGCTGGCCGCCAAGCTGCAGCGCCCCGCCGGCCTGCTGCTGCTGCGCGGCAACCACGAGACGCGCGACATACAGCGCATGTTCACCTTTCACAGGTATTCACTCACCACTCTCCTTTAGAAACTTTACACTCTATCCTAAGAAGATAAAAACCATCGCTTCTAAGAATATCCTACAATTCTTGTCCCTGACAGATTAAGGTGGTGAACCTTGATAAAGGGCGAGCACAATAGATCTATGTAGGTCGCAGTGATATAGGTCTTAGCACCTGACAATAGACCGTACCGCTTAATAAAAAATAAAAAAAACATTCACCACATTACCTTTATATGAGGGCCTCGGTGATCTAGCGGATTAGCACACCACTTTACTTCCGATAATCGCGGGTTCGATTCCTCACGCGCTAAAACGTTTGTATTAATGAGTATAATAGTTTGTATCCTTGTGGGTGTCCTTGGGACTAGATGACACCCTGTCATTTGTTCTAAGATATTATTATTACAATTTTTATAATGATATACGTATATGTTGATGTCTATATAACATTCACTTTACAGCGAGTGTATAACCAAGTACGGCGAAATTGAAGGCGTGAAAATATGGAATGCAATCAACAAAGTCTTCGACGTATTGCCTCTGGCCGCAGTTGTTGACGATAAGGTAAATATTTAGGATTACAGCATACAGCAATTTCAAATCTCGGTCTCCTCTATTTAAAACCGCTTTATAAGAAAGGCAGCAAAGATGTTATCACGGTAATACCAATTTTCTTAAGACTGAAAAATACATGTCAATGAATGATGTTTGTGAAATAATAAGTGTTGTAAAAAAAAGATGAAATAGAGCAATATTTTTTCATTTACTTATGGTGCACGTCATCTGCTTCTTCCTTATATAATTTGAAGTCGGCGTAATGTGAATTTCCTCTTCCATTCATCCCTGTTCGCAGTCCTGATGTTATTCACTATCTTTCGTGCAATATCATCTTTCACCGAGTCCATCCATCTCTTCAGCCTACCTCTGTCCATCCATATTCATATATGCAGGCAACCTGATATGGTACACTGGGTTATTAGTCCACACTACTAACAGTCCCTTCTGGGGGGAAAGGAGATTGTTAGTAATGTGGACTGATGATCTTATTGCTAGCAATGTACCATGTCAGGTTGACTTCCACGTGACCTCATGCTCACCTTATCATCATCCACTGGTGCCCCGCGTAAGCCGTTAACGCAGGCGGGTGCACCATTCCATTATCATATATAAAAAACAGTCCCCTTCTCTCCTGCTAATAATTAATTAATTAAGCTTTGGCATGGTGGTGGTAAATTAGGTGTTCTGCTGTCATGGTGGTATACCTCCACCGTGGGTGTGTCCGCTAGTGACCGCAATAGACAAAGTGCCTGTACCGTTGAGCCGCCCCGCCGAGCAGAGCTCCATCGCATGGGAACTGCTGTGGAATGATCCTATCAAGTATGCTGTATTCCTTTTTTGCTTGAGGTCTTCTTTAGAATATAGGAAGAGGGGAAATCCAGAGAAGAAAATAAACAACACTAACACAAATCTGAAACACACTTCAGACTATTTACTTTTTAATGGATGATAATGATACGAAGCACCAGCCTGCTAACGGTTTTCGCTGGCGGGGCACCAGTGGAGGATAAGATGAACATCAGGTCAGTTAGTCCATCGTGACAAATTTACCAAGAATTTCCAAGGAGACCGCGTGGAAGTCAAACTGACATACTACATTGTAAACACTGGGGTCATTATTGGCAATCCCCCTTCCATCGGCATTTCCACGTGATCGGGCTGTTGGGTATGGGCCTCGAGCATAAGCGTACCTTACCCGGGCGTACGTATGGGGTGAACCACTCCAGCGAGGCAGGCTACAATAATGCAGCCGGCTGGGGAATCTAAATTATAGATAATTAATATAGATCGTTGGGTCGACTCTAGCCGTCGCCCCGTGTACTTATATTAACAATACAAACCGTACGTTTGGTTAAAGATCAAGCAAGTTGACAACGACACTGGCACTGGAGCTGGCTGCTAACGAGGGTTTCGCGGCCAACGCCAAGCGAGGCACCGGCCACGTGTTCGACCAGACCGCTATAGACCGGTTCCTGCTCGCCAACCAGCTGACGCATGTGGTGCGCGCGCATGAACTGCATCACACTGGTTTCATGGTATCTGTATCCTAGTTTTATTTTTTTTTATTTGAGGTAATCTGAGCATTCTTCTGCAGCTCCGACGACGTGGTTCTATCTCTATAATAGACAGGCTACTATTGCTCTTCTTCAGGAAAAGTAGCGCGGGTACACATCTGCACCTACTCAGGACTGCAATGTCGTTGACGGGGAAGTAGACGCTCCTGCCCCTTGCGAAGGGAGTTCTGTCTTGCGCATCTCAAACGAAGTAGGTTGGCGGAGGAGCAATTTCACGGTCTCTCTAGGCGCCATCTTGACTCTATTCTTTTTTTACTTGGAGAATATTCTCATGGAGATCGCCCGCCCTGGGTGAGATAAGCTAAATATTGAAATATATTAATATAGCAGTTTTAGACCTCAGTAAAATTGATTTAAAAGCGCTTTCTAAGAAAAGTAATGACTATATACATATCGGTAATTCAAACTGGCAGTGTCAACTGCGCGGTCGTCTGATATCGGTATTCTCGTCATCTCGGTACTGCGGCGGCAACAACGACTCGGGACTGGTGCTGCTTGAGGGCGGGAAACTGCGACTCATACGCATCAACGACGAGTGACCACCAAACTGGAGGACATTGTCCTCCGCGGACAAATGTTGTTTATTCACACAAAATAGCACACAATAGTTTGTTTCAAAATTTATTTACTGTTAAAAAAAAACCCCGTTGCAGTTAGATTTTTGAAATTTATAATTAAGAAATTATTTATTTTAATGCTTATTATTTTTTTTCACTTAAATTTGAGTACAACAGGAAATCAGTATGAACAGAAAATTGTTAGTCGACCTTATAAGCAGATAGATAAATTAACTTGTGTTATCTCAGGCTATGCTCGGGGTTTCTCAGCGTGATCGAATCAGAAATGAGGAGATCAGCAGACGAACCAGACCGACCGAATAATTGCAAAACTGTAGTGGCAATGGGCAGGGCACATTTCTCGTAGGACAGATAGCCGTTGGGGCAGTAAAGTCCTCGAGTAGCGACCGCGGACCAGAAGACGCAGCGTGGGAAGGCCTCCAGCAAGTCCGACGATCCGGTCACGATCGCTGAAAGGCATTGGATGCGAGCAGCGCAGGACCGATCGTCGTGAAGATCTTTGTGGGAGGCCTTTGTTCAGCAGTGGACGTCTTCCGGGCTGAGATGATGATGATGATGATGATATTAACTACTTCAATTCATATAAACCATATATACAAACAAACCTAGTACCTATATATATATATATATATATATTATAAACTGTCTTTTAGTAAATTATTAATTGTTTAGAATAAAACCATAAAACAGTTTCATATCTTTTATTATTGACTCCAGTATCACTTAGAAAACTTCGACGCGTTTACAAATTGGAACAAAACAGTTTCATTATAAGTTATCTTACTGATATTATATAATACAAAGCACTTATATACTAAATTCTTTAAGGAATTCCATTACGGACACGTCGATACTGCGATGGAAAACTAGAAAAGTCATTCAGTAACTTATTTGACTGAGATACAGCAACTTTAAAAAGCTTTATATTACATTATTTAAATGAACTTAACATTATGGACTGCTTTTAAAAGCTCTACTAGGAATGACCGGGATTCTATTCGTACATAATCGAGAAATCCGCAAACAAATGCTGTTGCTAACAATTCCCGTTGCAATAAATTGTAACTGTCAATCTTGCGATCACGGGTACACTATTGGATAGTGGCATAACTCAGTAACTAACACACTTGCTGCAGCTGTCAAAGTCAAAATTGTAAAATGATTATGTAACACGTTATGCAAGTATCGTTTAGAAAAAGTCAATAGGTCTTTTATGGGAATAGGTATAAAAATTTACAATAAGATACGAAAGGACATACTGGAATTACCCTTAAATAAATTCAGAACATCTGTTAAATCATACTGAGCAAAACCTATTACTCACTAAACGATTACTTGAATGACGAGCGTGCATGGCGATAGTTGTTCATGCACGGGATTTTCATTTAATGTTAGACATAGACACCTATATAAATATGCATTGTATGTATTCTATTGTAAATAAACTGGCTTTAAAAAAAAGTAATACAATTGAGTTTCTTGCCAGTTCTTCTCAAATGAATCTATATACTGAACTGGACGGTAGGAAAAAAAATACAATATAAAAAATTTTACGTTCATAAGCGGCTACAATGTACTACACGAATAAATTATTTTTGTATTTGAATACAGTTGCTAATAATGCCCATTTGAAACATTACATTGCAACACTGTTGATTTCAATGTGTTTTAAGTGAGAATTGATAATTTTTTAAGGGGTGCTGATCAGTGCCATGGCGTGGCATCCCTCTGAGGGACTATGTTTAGTGCAATTTCAAATCCAATAGATACACTTTGAGATAATTTTTAAAAGCGCCACATTATACGAATCATGACAGGACAGGTTAATATAACTAAGTAAATATTGTAGTTAAACCTAGACACCACACAGCGCCATCTAGTCCAGAACTAAGCTTAGCTTTTACTATTGATACTAGACATCTGATAGAGTTATAGATAGAAAACGTCTAAATATATAAATACTAATGTATACAAATGTTTATATTCAGCGGGAATCAAACCAGCGACCCAAATTAGTCTAACTTAAAATAGAATTTAAAATTGTAATTGTATATATAGTAAAGCTTAAATAATAATGTAATAAATAATACCGGCAATTAGAAGGGGTGGGTAGGGGATGGATAACACCGGCATATAGAAGGGGGTGGAATTAGCATAGGGTTAGGAGGGAGGAGTATGAGCGTTCAGAACCTCTGCTCAACTTGTGAAATGCCTAACACTTAATGTATTCTGAAGAGGTGTATTTCCCAGGTCAATTCCTGCAGACGTGTTATACAGCGTGTTCTACAACTTAAACCGAATATTGTTTACAACCACACACCATTCATAATGAAATCTACAAACGGCCACATTCCCTATTTTTTTTACAATAATTATCTATATTATTTATCTAACATTATATTTAATATAATCGAAATGAGATGTATATCGTTTACATATAACAAAACTCGCATATTCTCAATCAGTCGTTTTCATCACATTACAACTATATTATTCACTAAAACTTCTTTCACTGGAAGAATATATTAAATCTATCAAGTAAATTGAATTACAATCATTCCAGGACAGTAAAAATTTTAAATAAAAAATTGTGGCTAAACAACAGCAGATGATGAAAAAATGAAGAGGCCCTGTTCTGTGCAGATTTTGTTTCTCTACAACTTTCATTTAAAACATTTTTTCATATTTCTTACAGTTATCGAATTATTTTGGAAAAGGCGATTTTCAACCCTTTTTCTTTATTTTTTCACCCCTTTCCCGTTAACATAAATCAAAATTTCTTTCTGAATATTATTCACGTGTTTGTGGACTTATTTTGATATATTGCGCAAAAACTGTGACCAGTTAATTAAACATGATGTGACCATCATGTTTAATTTAAATTTTTACTGGACTACATTACGATATTCATTCAATATAGTATTGATCGAAATTCAATATCGACTAAGTATAATCTTTCTACTTCATTTGCCTTCATTTTCTTGGTAGAAAGTCACCGCCATAAGGTTGTTCATAACCGGGCTATATAAACCTCTAATATTATAAATGCTTAAGTGAGTATGTTTATTCGTTGTTAACATTATAATCATGTAATTTGACATAATTTATATTATTAATCGGGTCTTAACACGAATACTTTTATTGGAAATAGAAGTATTTATCTACACGTATAAATAAAATTGGAGTTTCTGTTTGTAATATTGAAATAACCATTTTTTACTACATGCATTTGAATATAAATACATACACCAAAATAACATTTTTTACAATTTTTGTCTGACTGCCTGTTTGTTTCGGCTAATCTCTGAAATGGTTGGACCGATTTAGACGGGACTTTTTTTGGTAACAGGCTACTTTTATTATTATTATTTTTATTTAGAAAAGTAAAGTTAAATTCCACGCGGACGAAGTTACGTGTACAGCTTGTCATTCTATATGGTTACAGCCCATTCCTAAACGAAATATTTTATTTATTTGGAAAATATACACTCTATACTGAGATAAAAACCATCGTTCCTAAGAAAACCTTCAATTCTTGTCCCTGACGGGTCTAGGGAGCGAACTTTGAAAAAAGGCGAGCACAATAGATCTATGCAGGTCGCAGCGCTACCGGTCTTAGCACCTGACAATAGCCCAAAACCCTCAATAAAAACTCCTACTTTAATACCTTTATTTACCATAAATTTATTCGTGATAAAACCCAGTTAACAATATAAACAATGTGTTAAACACAAAAGTTTATATGTAATTTCAGTAGCATCTCATATAGAGGATGATGGAAGATCGCGGAAAGTGTCAAGAGCTCCACCGACAAGAGCGTAGCTCTTAAATTATGAATGAATGAATGAATCATATAGAGAAGAACAGACTTTAAACCGGGAAAGAAGTAACGCGTGAAGTCGCTAGTCCCAACACTTACGATACCATGCATATCTTCCCATTTATAATTTATTATAATAATAATTTATTATTTATAATATTAGTAACAATACTTTAAACTTGCATTCCGTTATACCCTATTTAAGATACCAATAAATTAAAAATAACAAAACTTTATATACATTTTACGAGCTTGTTTCAAAGTCTTCTAGAAATAGAAAATCATTTATTCATATAAACTTAATTTAAGCACTTTTGAATAGTCAACATTTTTTTTTAATTTATCGCTTATTCGGAAAACTGTCTCATCACAAGAAGAATAAGTAAGAAACTTGTGTGTTGCTCTTTTAGGCAATCCTTGTAAGCTGTTTTAAGCGGTAATCCTTGTAATTCTTGTTAGAGCAGAGCTTCCCTAACGTTTTTGTGTCGTAAACCCTTTGCCATATTTTTCGGTTTTGGGTTGACCCGCCAGTCTTACTGGTATTGATTTTTTGTAAATTTCTAACTCTAGTAAAGTTTAGTGTTAAAAACAACAAGATGACCACTGTCGTAGACCCCTTGCTATTTGTCATAGACCCCTGGGGGTCGATATAGACCACTTTAGGAATCACTGTTTTAGAGCATTGCAATATAAAACAGACAAAGCCGGATGAGACAGCTAGCACAACGAATTCCTTATTTCAATATGTATCTTAACATATAAAGATTTCATTTCATAAATCATCTCAACAATGCATTATCAACTTGACGGCCTCTGATCTAGTAAACCTATTTATTTCCAATAGTCGCGATTCGATTCCTCGCAGGGTACAAACTTGTATTCATAAGTACGAGTGTTTGTATTGGTCTGGGTGTTTTATATGTATAATATGTATTTACAAAATGAAATTAAATATCTATCAGTTGTCTAGTACCCATAAGTCAAACTCTGCTTAGTTTGGAACTAGATGGCGCTGTGTGAAATGTCCTGAGATGTTATACTTGCAAATACATCTATGTACGTAGATTCATAGATTGTTATCTCATTACATTGTATAAAACAAATTCGCTGTCGTTGTCTGTCCGTCCCTATGTATGCTTAAATCTTTAAAACTACGCAACGGATTTTGAAGCGGTTTTTTTAATAGACAGAGTGATTCTAGAGGAAGGTTTATATATATATATATAATACATGTACACCCGGGCGAAGCAGGGGCGAGTAGCTAGTAATCTATATATATTTAGTTTATATAAATTTCAATTTCAATCGACCAAGTCCTTGTAAATCTCAACTGAAAGAATGGTCAATATTTTTAGATGAGAAATATGATATTATTAATAGAAAAAAAGACATTAAAATTACATAATACTTTTCAACCGCGTGAAATTTATAGCCTATATGTTATTCTGTTGTGTATGCTATATTACTATAAAGTTTCATCAAAATCCGTTCCGTAGTTTTTGCGTGAAAGAGTAACAAACATCCACCCATACTCACAAACTTTCGCGTTTATATTTATATATATAAGTAAGATTTTTCTAATTTTCTAATATTTACATTTACGTTTGTATTACAAACATATAGAAACTCAGTACATAGATGTATCTCGCAAGGTTGTGTAAAAAGTATAATTTTTGTTAATTTAGGATATGTTCATCTTTTTATAATTTTAGTAGGAAATTTCATTTAGTCATATAATATATTTATACATATTACGGTTGTGTAAGTAGTATTCACTTCATTGGGTATACAGGATCGGATTAACTATCAGTCGGAGTAGGTGACTGCGAAGTGGCCCGAGTTTATATATACACTTGCTTTTGCAAGCTGCTTCGCTCGCGTTAATTTATCCCCTTAAGGGTGGAATTTATCAAAATCCTTTCTATGGGTATGCCTACGTCATAGTAGCTTTATGCATACAAAATCTCAGCCCGATCGGTTTAAAATTGACAAAGTTTCATATAAACTTTCATACCCTATTTTATCCCTTTGGGGGTAGAATTAATCAAAATCCTTTCTTAGCGGATGCCTACGTCATAACATCTACCTGCATGCCAAATTTCATCCCGATCCGTCCAGTGGTTTGGGCTGTGCGTTGATAGATCACTATGTCAGTCACCTTTGGGTTATATATATTTAGATAGTAGAATGAAGTTGCTTCCGCAGTATTAGATTTTTAAACGCAACGATATTTTAATGTAGTTTTTGGCAATAGATAGAGAGATTGAAGAGGAAAGTTTATATGTATAATATATCGTCGGTTAAAGGGGGGTGGAATTAGGAAAGGGTTAGGAGGGAGGAGTATGAGCGTTCAGAACCTCTGCTCAACTTGTGAAATGCCTAACACTTAATGTATTCTGAAGAGGTGTATTTCCCAGGTCAATTCCTGGTTAAATAGGAAAATGGCAGTACTCGAAATGTACATTTTTTACAAGACAAACATTTAAAGTTTTTAAATTTATTAAAATGATTTTTTCCTTTAGAGTTTTAAATTTAGACAGCAGTATTATATATCATTTTAAAAGTATTTAGATAATGATTAAGACGGCGTGGTTAATTTAATTGAATTATATAAAAGGAGGTAATTTTAAACAAATCCTCGGAACGGTGAGGTCGCTCCGTGAAGCCTGTGAAGACACTAGGGGACTTCTGCGCTTCTGGGAGGAGGTTGGCTAGCTACTTTAGTAGTCTGGGGATCGGTGATGTCGCTCCGTGAAGCCTGTGAAGACACTAGGAGACTTCTGCGCTTCTGGGAGGAGGTTGGCTAGCTACTTTAGTAGTCTGGGGATCGGTGATGTCGCTCCGTGAAGCCTGTGAAGACACTAGGAGACTTCTGCGCTTCTGGGAGGAGGTTGGCTAGCTACTTTAGTAGTCTGGGGATCGGTGATGTCGCTCCGTGAAGCCTGTGAAGACACTAGGGGACTTCTGCGCTTCTGGGAGGAGGTTGGCTAGCTACTTTAGTAGTCTGGGGATCGGTGATGTCGCTCCGTGAAGCCTGTGAAGACACTAGGAGACTTCTGCGCTTCTGGGAGGAGGTTGGCTAGCTACTTTAGTAGTCTGGGGATCGGTGATGTCGCTCCGTGAAGCCTGTGAAGACACTAGGAGACTTCTGCGCTTCTGGGAGGAGGTTGGCTAGCTACTTTAGTAGTCTGGGGATCGGTGATGTCGCTCCGTGAAGCCTGTGAAGACACTAGGAGACTTCTGCGCTTCTGGGAGGAGGTTGGCTAGCTACTTTAGTAGTCTGGGGATCGGTGAGGTCGCTCCGTGAAGCCTGTGAAGACACCAGGACACTTCTGCGCTACTGGGAGGAGCTTGGCTGGCTACTTTAGTAGTCTGGCTCTACATCCACAACGGCCCGAATGAGAGGCAAATTGCGGAGACTGGAGTCCAACATACAATACAATACAAGGAGGCAATTCTAGCTTCTAATTTCGAAAAATGTCATTTTTCTATTTAATCGACGATATATACACCCGTGTAAAGTTTGGGCGGGTAGCTAGTACATTGAATATGATTCATAGAGCGACGATTTATTTGGAAAATTGGTATCCTCAGTAACAAACTTAGAGAACAGATCCATCTATTCCCCCCCCCCCCCCCCCCCCCCCCCCCCCCCCCCCCCCCCCCCCCCCCCAAAAGTGGTTACGTAATACTTGAACGGCCCCTTATGTGCTTCAAACTAAAAAGCTAAACTACATTCTATTTTCTTTCAATCCAGATAAAAAATAGCACTGAGCAACTATTTTCAGATGTTTTCTTAATTACATAGGAGACTGCAAGGATTGCATTGACAGGGACCCCTGTATGGTTAATCAGGCACTGTATTATTTCGTTATCTTTTTTAATGATAAATAATCAAATGTAACATATATAACATTACTAGCTGTCACGGCAAACGTTGTTTTGCCTTAAAGTAAAAAAAAAATTAGGGGTAGACTACCCCTAACATTTAGGGGGATGAAAAATAGATGTTAGCCGATTCTCAGACCTACTCAATACGGTTACAAAATTTCATGAGAATCCGTCAAGCCGTTTCGGAGGAGTATAGGAACGAAAACTGTGACACGAGAATTTTATATATAAGATGCTGTAAAATGTTTGGTAGAAACACAATGAAAGAAGTCCTTCTCCTTCTCACATCGCCATATCTACCATGTAGGTGTATTCTTAAATAATTCTTTAATTACATCACTCGTAACATTTGGACAGTGTATGAGAATAATTTATGAATTTAAGACGTGTCTTTGGAAATTAAAATCTATGGAATAAATAAAAATTTTTAATGAATTCACGTACCAAAGACTGAACCAGAATAATAGTAATATGCAATCCCTTGCGATTGCGAGTGGTTTATCCGCGCTAAATAGCGCACGTGATAAAACGTGCCGTGTAATGGCAGCTAATGTCGTAGTTTTATTAAACAGATATTGTAATTGAGTAGTTATTTACAGTTTCCACATATTTTTGTAGCATCTTATTTGCAATATAAAATATTGTATTCCGATTCTGATCAATATTCTTTGCTGACATTTAAAAAAATAACGAATCTGAATAAATTACTGGGTTTACCATAAATAAGTTCATTTACTACATGTAAATCAAGTTATTTTGAGCTTGGTTTTACGACTCCACTTATGTTGAAGGTAAAGTCCTTATTTCTGATGATGAGTTCGTATAGCGTTAATATAGCGTCATGGTATTAACGCATGGTTTTACAGTTCCACTTATATAGTAAGTAAAATGTTAGCTCACGATGTTTCCTGATGATGAAGTGTGTACAGTCAGCATTCGGGATTGTTCTTGATGATTCAGCGCGTAATGTGCACGCGTTTGAGTTTGTTCTTCGTGATTTAGCGCGTAGTGTGGTTATGCGCTTGGTTATTCAATGTGTAGTGTGCACACGATCGGGAATGTTCTTCGTGATTTAGTGCGTAGTGTGCACGCGCTCGGGATCGTTCTTCGTGGTTTAGAGCGTAGTGTGGGTACGCGCTCGGGGTTGTTCTTCGTGATTTAACGCATAGTGTGGATACGCGCTCGGGGTTGTTCTTGGTGATTTAGGGTGTATCGTGGATGGCGGAGATGGTGATTCAGCGCGTGTGTACGCGCTCAGGATTGTTCTTGACGATCAGGGTGTCGTGTGGAAGGCGAGACGGTAGTAACAGATGGTGACCGCTGGGCTACAGCAGCAGTCGTCCGGCGAGGATCTCGAGCGCGGCCTTCCGCCGCAGGTAGGGCATGTGCGCCTGTGTGAACGTGTAGGGGGCTCCGCGCGCGCTGAACTCCGCGAACGTGCACGCAAACATGCCGCAGTCGCTGCCGTTCATCTGCTGCGGTATGTTCTGCTGAACGATAATATCATTAATTCAATTCAATTCCTTTACTGGAACATGTGTACATAATGGTCTTAAAATTATATGAGTTTCAAATGCCCTGCCGTTTCCGGCGTGTAAAAAATTACAATAGTATTAATATTACATTATTATATTAATAAATTATTATTATTATTACAATACATTATTGACATTTTAATAATACAATCATTTGTGGAATAATAACATTTATTTAATAATTCAATAAATAATTTATTGAATTATTAAATAAATGTTAATATTCCACAAATGATTATTTGAAAAAATTGGAAATCTCTGTTTAGGTACATACAGCTTGTATTTATGTCTATTTCTACTTTCTGGAATCACAGTTTCTCTTAAATATATGTGGGTATTTGTCAACGAACATGCATATTTTCATCACATATATATTAGAACTAGATGTTGCCGCGACTTCGTCCGCGTAAATTGTCGATACTTCCATATAACCTTTAATTCCCCTTTCAAACCCTTACAACACTTTTCGGATTAAAAAGTAGCCTATATAGTTTCTCAGATTCTAGGCTATATGTGTATCAAATTTCATTTAAATCGGTTCGGTAGTTTTGGCGTGAAAGCGAAACAGACAGACAGACAGAGTTACTTCCGCATTTGTAACATTAATAAGGATAGAATATGGGTCGAAAAGTGTCGGGCGCCCTCCAGAAAGATGGACCGATGATATGACGAAGGTGGCCGGGAGTGGATGGATGCGGAAGGCGGAAGAAAGCACATGGTGGAAGTCTTTGGGAAAGGTATCTATCCAACAGTGGATAGATACCGGCTGAAATGATGATGAGAATGGAATAGAAAATCACTTATTCAAATAAACACATTGAAGCACTTTTGAATAGTCATCACATTTTCTTTTTCAATCTACCGCTCATTCGGAAAGTTGTCTCATCACAAAAAGATGAGCGAGAAACTTGCGTGTTGCTCTTTTAAATAATTTTGTTGTTAGTTCACATTTTTAAGTTGAAGTGTGTGGATATAAAACACCAACTGGCACTAATTCAATGAAATACTCAAATAGAGAAAATATTAATGGTTGAGTAAGTAAATAAGAGTAAATCAGTCATAGTGATTAGAGCAGATCAGTCCCTACAAGCTGCACTCGTTCACGAGTATGACGTATGAGCCAGCCATCACTGCGCTCGACCATATTTTAAGGAGCCCAATGACCCGGCCCACCACGCCGCCACAAGTCTGGATATTTTAGTGAGCATAACTACTCAAAACACTAGACCACGTCATAGCTACTTACTATTGCCATCTGATAGTTAGATTCAAATAACCGTTTCTTGCATGTAGTAAAAAACGGTTATTTGAATCTAATTATCAGATGGCATACGAATATAAATACGGTACATACACCAAAATAACATTTTTTACGTATTCATTTAAATTCAAATTTAATAATTAAAAGTTACATTAATTGGGCTCCTTAAAATATGTTTCCATTGATTAGAGTTTTTTTTCTCTTCTTTTGGCTTCGGCTGTGTTGCCATTAGCCATAGTTTGAGATTGCTAATTAATTTTGTAAAATCTAACCTTCAAACACTCCGCTTTCCATCCTTTATCATCGAAAGGCTGTCCCTTCTTGTCCTGGTGCTCATCGCGCAGGTACTGCATGAGAGCGTCGAGGCACGCCTGGTTGGAGCTGCCCATGCTGTCCAGGTATGATACCTTCTTGTTCTGGAAGTCTACCATGCTCACACACCAGTGGACTCCCAAGTGTACTGGCACCACCATCAGGTCGTGCGCGAATATGTCCACCTAAAATGCACATTAATTAAGGAACACTTTTTTTTGGGTTCGGAGAAAATTAAAAGTTATATATACATAATACATAGCTGGATCCGCGGTTTCGCGGCGAACTGACGGTAAATTTTGACATAACATAAGAGTCTGTAATAGACCTACATGAGTAAAAATATTTGATTTTTTTCTTATGGATAATAATGGAATGAGGCACCCGCCAGCGCAAACGGGTTACGCTGGCGGGACACCAGTGGAGGATGATGAGATGAGCATGAGGTGGTTTCCAGGGGAAACCACGTGAAGGTCAACCTGACATGGAATGGAATTAGCAATGGGTAATAACCCCATTACTAACAATCCCTTTCCCCTTGATATTCTGATTTTTTCGTCTGTTTATGAATTTATTGGACACAGTTACTAGATACATAAATATAATAATTGCATTTAATAATGGCTAGTAAGACAAATTGAATATTGTCTAGTGAGCACTGCCGTGTCTAAACTGTGTCACCCACCTTACGTTTTCCTAGTGTTATTTAATATATCAGATCAATATTTTTATGTACATTTTGTCAGTCTATTATCATCTGTAATATACATCATCTCAATCAGACAACCTCGTATTATTCTCCACACAAATTCTTACCCTTCTCGTCCATCTCCGCAGGCCGGCCTGTCCACTTTGCATAAGTTTGGGATAGAAGAATGTATTCGTAGCGTACACCTTTGGTAGGTCTTTTCGCTCCTCACTCCTTTGCATCAATAAATTCATGTAGAAATTTATTACTTCATCATTGAGCCAATTGAGACCAGATAGTGTTTGAAGATCTCGCCTGGAAAGAAAATAAACTATTCTGTTTGGGTGTTCTAAATATACCCACCACTTAAAGTACCAATGTGTAAATTTACTTTCGTTCGTGAATTTACACATTGGGACCGGGTCATCACCTGTGGGTGGTCATCATCGTGGGGATGCGGTCTTTTAATGTGTTAAAAAAAATATAGACTTTTATTACATTTCGCTCAGTATATACGAATACATTGTGGCAGGGGGTAAGCTTACTGCCATGACAGCCTCTGTGGTTTAGCAGTTTAGTGCGCCGCCTTAATTCCGATGGTCGCGGGTTCGATTGTACGCACCCGCGACCTTCGGAGGTAAGGCGTTGTTTTCTATTTATGTATATACAAAAAAAGAATATATCTACGTATTTGTATTAGTTGTCTAGTAAAACAAGCTTCACTTAGCATGGGACTAGGTGGCGGTGTGTGAATTGTCCTGAGATATTACTATTTATAAGATTAATTTCGTTTCTAATGAGGCTTTCCATCAATGTAGAGTCCATCTACCATGTCCCAGTGATCCTGTGATCAGGATGTTTGTAACTGCATCGAAATATCAGGAATACATATCCTGTTAATATAATTATTACAATTCTGAACAACTTCATTCACTTTACTCAGGAGACACAGTATGACTGGAAACCAAGTCGAAATACACCATACAAATGTCTGAAGCATCACACAAAGGAAACATTGTGATTAATATTCATATCCTGTTGAATTCAATATCATATCATCTGTCAGATACAGATATCTGAAGAACGAAATAATGGTAAACAAGAAAAAAGTTTAAAACAGCATTTACTTACCTATGTATTCTTAAATTGAATTTCTCTACTAGAACTTGTCCAGGCGGGCCCGGCCCCAGCGCTCTATTGACTAATTTCTCCTGTTCAGGCGTTAAAGGCGGAAGCTCGACAGTCGGCTGAGGCTCCTCGAACAGACTTTCCGGTATACTTAATTCATACTTCAATTTGTTCTCTAAATGTGCTATTTTTTGTTCATTATTTACTTTTGTTATAATATCGGACTCGCGTCGCGCGTCCACCAGTTTCTCCTGAGTTTGCTGTTTCTTTTTTTTATATTTTGTATCTAATTTGGAGAGCCAATCACTGGATATTACTGCTCGATCTTTAAATGACTCTCTAAGGGAATTTATGGGATCTATCCTAACAGAAGATGTCGATGACTCAGAATGAACAATTTCTACCTCGGAGTCTGACGAGTTTATTGATGCAACCGTAATCGGATCATATTCCTTTGTCACCTCGTTCTCCTTTTCCGCACTTAGACCTTTCTCCACAAATTTTAGTTCGTCCAAGGCCTTTTTCTGTGTTTTTTGCGTCAAACGAAACGAAGCTGCGTCTTCGGCTAGACTTATTATATCGCCAGGTTTCCCTAATGACACAGGTTTCGCTGTAGTGGTTACTCGTCTGATAAGTTCTTGATAGTTTTTCTTTTCGTCTAAGTTGAACACTTCAGATAGTGTTGTTTTCAAGTTGCCGTTCAAATTTAGATATCTATTTCTTAATGTTGGGAGATTCGATGATTTGCTTTCTTGCATCCATTTTGGGACCGGCGTGGGTGCCTTTTTATATATTTTAGTAATACCTACTGGTGCCTTAAATTTACTATACGCTCTTGGTGATGTGCTTGCATTTCTGTCGTTTAGTTTTCGACTAAGTTTATAGTACACTGGCTCTCGTGAGACCCCGTCGGGTGCTTCGCTGCTGTTCGCAATGAAGTATTTATATGGTTTCAGTGGTGGTGGTGTTGATATTTTTTTCACGAATATAACATCGTCGTCAGGTTGGTTGTGGTCGGATTCCTCCTCATCCAAGTCTATATATACTTTTGATGGTTTTTCTGGTTTATTTTCTATCCATGTTACCTAAAAAAAAGAAATAAATATTATTTACCTATACATATAAATAAAATTGGAGTGTCTGTTTGTAATATTGAAATAACCGTTTTTTACTACATGCATATGAATATAAATACGGTACATACACCAAAATAACATTTTTTACAATTTTTGTCTGTTTGTTTGTTCCGACTAATTTCTGAAATGGCTGGACCGATTTTGACGGGACTTTTTTGGCAGGTAGCTGACGTAATAAGTAACTTAAGCTATTTTTATTTTAGAAATATAAAGTTAAATTCCACGCCGCTGAAGTCGCGCGTTAACTTAAAGTTAATAATTATTTATTAATAAAAAGCAACACAAATCCTTTATTCAAATAAATTTCATTTAAGCACCATTGAAAACTCTGCTGCTTCGGAAATCTGCCTCATCACAAGTAGATCGAGCAAGAAACTTGTGTGTTGCTCTTTTGAATAGATTTTTTTTAAATATATGTATAAATAATTACACAATAACAAATAAAAGGTATGCTTAGTGCAATTAGATAACATAGTCAGCGCTATAAATTTTAAGTTTTTCTATGAAAACATTATGATCGTTAAGGAACTCTTCAATTTTATAATATGCTTTTTTACAAAGGAAATGTTTTATACGATATTCAAACCTTTTTTCAGGCAGATTTAGAACAGACTGGTAGTTTGTTGTAAAACCTTATCCAATTATCATAAAAGGAAATAACTTTAGTTAAATGACATTCAGGTAAAATCAGTTTGTTATGGAGGATGATGTCAGATACATACAATGAATCATGCATTGTATCTGTCCTTAACAATACTATAAAATATCCCAATATCCCAAAAGTTTTTTTTTATTGTCTTATAATTAATAAGACAATAAAAAAAAACTGATTATAACCATAACATAATTATAAATCTGCAGATTGGGACAGATTGCGAGAATTTTACGCATCGTACCCATGGAAGCAGTACTGCTTTGCATCAGAAGACGTCGATACCTATACAGCCGCCGTTACTGAAGTCATACTTGCGGGTATGGAATGTTTTATTCCAAATCTGCTTGTTTCTTCAGGGGCGAAAAAGCGACCGTGGTTTAATAGGTCATGCAGAGAAGCCAGACAGGCTAAACAAACTGCTTATCTGGCTTGGACCACGGCTCGTTCCAACAGTGATGTTGACGTATCTGATGCAAGGCGGAATTTAAATGCTGCATCCAGGTTTAGTAAGAGAGTAATTGCTAGAGCCAAATTCGACTTCGTCAGTAAAATTGGTGAACGACTAGCACGACATCCATCTGGAAGTCGTGCCTTTTGGTCGCTTGCCAAAGCTGCCGAAGGTAACTTTAGTCAGTCGTCCTTACCACCACTACGGAAGCCGGATGATAACTTGGCAATCAGTGCAAAAGAGAAGGCCGATTTGTTGTGCGCTCTTTTTGCCTCAAATTCGACTTTGGACGCCGGGGACACCATACCTACTACCATCCCATGGTGTGGTAACTCTATGCCGGAAATATCCGTAACGCAACGGCGTGTCCGGCGAGAGTTACTGTCTCTTGACGTCCACAAGTCGAATGGGCCAGACGGCATACCGGCATTGGTGTTAAAGAAGTGTGCTCCGGAGTTGTGTCCCGTACTCACGCGCCTTTTCGCGCTTTCGTACTCCTCTGGGCAATTTCCGTCTTCATGGAAGACCACCCTTGTGCACCCTGTGCCAAAAAAGGGCGACAGATCAAACCCATCGAACTACAGGCCTATCGCTATCGCATCTCTACTCTCCAAGGTGATGGAGCGTGTAATTAACACACAGCTCCTGGGATACCTAGAGGATCACGATCTATTGAGCGATCGTCAATATGGCTTTCGCCATAATCGCTCAACTGGTGATCTTTTAGTGTATCTCACACACCGTTGGGCTCTTGCCATCGAGAGTAAAGGTGAGGCATTGGCAGTCAGCCTTGACATGGCGAAGGCATTCGATCGGGTTTGGCATCAAGGTCTTCTATCGAAATTGCCCTCGTACGGTATACCAGAGGGATTATGCAAATGGGTTGCTAGTTTTTTGTCTGGCAGATGCATCAAAACCGTAGTCGACGGTAGTTGCTCCGATGGCATGGACATTAACGCTGGCGTCCCGCAAGGCTCCGTTCTCTCCCCGACACTGTTTTTGCTGCATATCAATGATTTGTTAACTACAGTTAACATTCATTGTTATGCGGATGACAGTACTGGGGACGCATTTTACACGGGCCGTGCTAATATCCCTCTTTCCGTTGTGGAGGCAAACCGCGAACAGCTTGTGTCTGAAATCGAGAGTACTCTTACCAGAGTCTCCGATTGGGGGCGACTGAACTTAGTTCAATTCAACCCTACCAAGACACAAGCCTGCGCGTTCACCGCTAAGAAAACCTCTTTTGCTGTGGCTCCGCAATTCCAGAACACGTCCATTACCATCTCTAAGAGTATTGGGATTCTCGGTATCGACATCTCTAGCACAGTTGAGTTCCGTAGTCACCTCGAAGAAAAGGTTAAGCTGGCATCCAAAAAACTCGGTGTGCTCAATAGAGCGAAGCGGTACTTCACTGCGGACCAGAGACTCCTCTTATATAAGTCTCAAGTTCGGCCGCACATGGAGTACTGCTCTCATCTTTGGGCAGGAGCACCTGGATACCAGCTCGGTCCTTTTGACTCGGTTCAGAGACGTGCTATGAGAATTGTCGATGATCCCAATCTCTCTGACGGTATCGAGCCACTTAGTTTGAGGCGAGACTTCGCTTCGCTTTGTGTGTTCTACCGATTATACAACGGACTGTGTTCTGAGGAATTGTTCGACATGATGCCTACGGCCACCTTTCACCATCGCACCGCTCGCCATCGACAGGGAATTCATTCCCACACGCTGGAACCTAAGTGGTCTCGGACAGTGCGGTTTCAGAGGAGCTTCCTCCCGCGTACACTTAGATTGTGGAATGAACTTCCTGCCGAGGTTTTATCACGAGACTACAGCTTGGGGTTTTTCAAGAAGGGTATATTAAGGTTTCTTAAGGGTCGGCAACGCGCACGTGACACCCCTGGTGCTTCAGGCGTCCATAGGCTACGGTAACCATTTACCATCAGATGGGCCGTATGCTTGTTTGCCACCATAGTAGTATAAAAAAAAAAATAACGGTGATGAAAATTTGATGAATGTGGATGGATGTAAAGGGAGGGGACGCCTTAAGAAAAGATGGATGGATTGTGTGAAAGATGATATGAATATAAGAAGAGTATGTTCAGATACAATGACCGATAGAGAGCAGTGGAAGAGAATGACATACTGCGCCGAATAATGGGATAAAGGCAAGGCAATGATGATGAACCATAATGGTGATGGCATATGGTAAAAGAAAAAAAATACTAACCTCTTGATCATCACAATCACCTTCACCATCATCCACCACACGTAGCACTTGTCTGTTAAGATTCGCCCTTCTATATGGTGTACTGCCACCATTTTCCTTGACCCCTACTAATTTTATCGGCACAGTACGAACTTTACTCTGTTTCTCTGTCGACCTATTGGGTGTTGAGGTACTAGGATGACCCCTATCTATTTGAATGGGTATGTAACGCACTTTTGTTTTATCTTTGTCCCATAAATCTGAAAAGGAATAAAAAATATTGTTAACCATTTTCAAAACCATAATTTATCTAATGTACACTATATTTCTATTCTTTACATTTAGCAGCTCATCTGGACCATTGTTCATGTAATGAACAATGGAACAATATAATGAACCTATAAACAATATCTTAACAATAATCTTGAACTGATTCTATTCAAGGGTGTAGTTAAAAAATTTCCTGAGCTGGACATATTTATATGAGATTTTTATTTTAGAATGGCAATGGATTACCTAAATAATACATTAATTTGTAGGTTGCTATTGTTTTATAATTATTAATGTATTATATTTTTGTGTAATTTTCCTAAGTGAGCATATTGGGAAACTGTAAGGCTCACTTAGTTTTGATGTCAGTAAATAAATAAACATGATTATTAATAACATAATATCACAGAACAGATTGTCATAGGTCAGAAAACTAACTTTTTATAATTATGCAGTTATCATAAAAGCTCATTTTAATTTAATATTAAGTGTGATTACTTAGAAAATTATGAACTTTTTGTAGACCTATAAAGGTGTAACATTTTCATCTTACATTATTTTATTATACACTCTCACATGAGTTATTTTATGATATCAATATATATATGGAAGAAATTGTTAAGTATGTAGACCCTATTGTTTTCAGGATGTTAATGGCCTGATGCACAGGGTGGGGCACCAGTCGAGGATGATGGAATCAGTATGAAGTTAGATTAGTTACTCGTTGCGCTAACTGACCTGATCTCATTCTCATATTATAATCCTCCACTAGTGCCCCATCAGCATAAACCGTTAGCACGGGCGGCTGCACCATTCCATTATCATTCATAAAAAAAACCATTATGATAAATTCCTGGTGAATTTATAGTGACAGGCCAATGTGATCTGACCTCATGCTCATCCCATCATCTCCTAAAATATACCACCCCCTTCCCATAGTCCTCTTCTATGAAGGCAGAGTGTTTCTGGGGAACCGGACTACAAATTGAAACTCACTTTGTGACTTGACTCATATTCAGGCAATAGTTACCATATTCCACTGAAGCTTTAGGTTCCAATTACATTAGAAACAGGTAAAAGAGGGTTTTATGAGTTAAGTAATGGTTTCCAATGTTTTATAAATAAAACAAATATCTTGCTTCTTGCAAATTACTAGTTATTAAGTATAATATAAACGTTGTCAGTAGGAATATATGTAGTGTATTTGTTTCTAGATAAAGTTTCTTATAATAACTATGTACTAATTACATTTTAAAAGGGAAACATGAATTTATTCCATACAATTTAGTAGTACACAATATCAAAGAAATAACAAAATATTTATTACCCTTTTCCGCCATAACGTCGGGGAAATTAGTTTTCCTCATCTGTTTGAGTTTCTTGACTGTCGGAAAATCATCATCGGACGAAAAATCATCTTCTACCCTGAAAAGTAAACCCAAACACGTTGCAGGAAAAATATAGCGACGCTGTTTCTAATTCAAATGTTACTTACTTCCAGAACTTAGATGCCAATTTCAATGGTATTTTGAGCATATTTTTTTATTTCAATGTATTGAACAAGCAAGATTTTTCATAGACTTTGCCGCCATAACTAATTTTAATGTTGTAAACTGTAAACATGTCATACCTGTCGCGTTTGAAGCTTGTCCTAATATCAGGATTTTCATCACACCAACCAAGAAGGCTTCTCACATAAGCCACAACGGACTTCATTTTATACATTTATGTTCCCATAACCTTATTATTTGAATTTTTGATCATAAATATGAACAATTATTATTTTTAAATTATTACAATAATTCAAGAAAACGAGCATTTCAGACTTAGTGTGTCATAGAGTAATTTTATTTTTTAAATTAGGGATGCGACTTAATAATCGATTATGAAAAAAATTCGAAAGTTTTAATCGATTTTAATATTGAAAAGAATCTATTATTCGAGTGAATGGATTTCCTTTTATTAATGATTTTTTAAACTATATTGTCTAATAAAATGAGAATTCTTGTCGTGCCAAGGAGCTGAAAAAATGGAGTATGGATAAATAATTTATTAGAATAAATCGATTTTTATTTGGTATGACTTTTGTACTGACTTAAATAATTGATTTAACAATAATTGATTTTTCGAGTAGCATTTTGGTGCAAAATGTGACATCCCAAATAAAATTAGGAATAATGTTTGTTCACAGATAACATAATATTACATAGTTTGTTGAAGTAATAATGTTGCCAGGCCACCTTCATAAAATGTAACTAGGTTTCGGAATCCGTAAAAGTTACGTATAACACAGAGTGTTTTTTAAATAAAAAATTGGCCATCTCCGTACTTGTGATACAATTTTGACGTAAAATTTTATTCAAGTCTTGTCAGCCGTTAAGTTGGAAAAAGCAACGCAGATTTTATAATAAAGGCACTAGAATGAACACCTGTCTGTTCTTACTGTTGTAATTATTGTACATAGTGAGCAAATATTACTTGTCATTTATTATTAAAATATATGATGTATTTGCAATTCTTTATTCTTGTATGTTACGCGCTATATTAAAAGTTATGAATAGTGTAAAATGTTAGTAACTGGCAGCATTGACTCATAGACAAATTTGGCAAAAATCTCTGATTTTTTTTCGAATATTGAATGGGTATTTAAATATTACATTATCAAATTTGTGTTGATTATCAAATTTTCAAATGATGTACGTATGGAACAAAACTGTCAAAATGATACGAAATTATAAAACTTTTTGGGCTAATCATAGTGTACAAACACAATGTGCAACTTTATTTTAAACAATTTATCTACTCAACGCTAGATGGCATTAGAAACAAAAGTATTGTTATTTATATTTATATAGGTTTAGAAATATGATTAATTATTTCTAAATAATCGATATTAGAAAATCATCGATGTTTATGGATTAAACATTTATGTTTATCATCCATGGTTTCCGAAAACTGCGAGTTATTAACATCTGATATGTCTTAATTTAAGAGTTTAATTTATGTATATTATTATAATAGCCACCATATATACAATATACCAAGCTGTATATATGTTTTACGTACCAATTTCGCACTGTATATCTGTTTTTTTATTGGCTGTTAATGGCACAGTGCACCCGCCTGTCTTAGCAGTATACGCTGTCGGGGCACCACTGGAGTATGATAGGATTGGCAGGAAGTTAGATCGAACAGTCCATCGTGATAAATTCACCAGAAACTTCTCGCGATGCTTTCCGGGTGTAACCACATGGTGGTGAACCTGACATAGTACATTGGTAGCAATAGTGTCATTAGTCCCCACCTCCCCTCTATAATATCTGGTGGAATGGTACAGAAATGAGTAATTTTTAGAACAAAGATTGGCACTTTTTTCAAATAACGTATATTGTATGGCCATAAAAATGTTTAATCATCTTCCAGACAATTATAGAAATTTGAATAATAAACAATTTAAAAGCAAAAAAACAATTTAAATTACTAAATAAATGTTATTATTCCACAAATGATTATTTAAATGATAATAATGGATTGTATTAAGAGTTTTAAATAAAATAATTTCATAATAATGTATTGTAATAATAATTTTAAATAAAAAAATGTGATAATAATGTAAATGTAATGAATATTATTGTAAGATTTTACACGCCGGAAACGGCAGGGCATGTTTGAAACTATTATAATCTTAAGACCATTATGTACACATGTTCCAGTAAATAAATTGAATTGAATTGAATTGACATAGACAAAATATTTTATTTCTTAAACAGAGCTTTAGTCACGATGGCCTAGTTTATTCAGTCCCGTTTGTTTTCGACACGTGTTTCTTTGGGTCGGGAACACTCGATTGTTTTTAGGCCATTGTATCGGATGAAAAAAATAAACTGGGATTAAGATGAAGATATAAAAAATAACAGATTATTTCTCATGTCGCTACACAAAGGATTGTTGCTGAAAGTTTGAAATTCAGTTTTAACTTTCAGTAAATAATATTTTGACGATTGATCTACTCGTAACTAGATTGTATTAAAATGAAAACTAGAGCATTTATAGAATACTACCCTCCCCCTTCCCTCATTTCCACTCGTATAATTTGTACGTAATAATTAAAGAAGAGAGAGCGTCAGAAATTGGGTACGTCCATGCAATAATTTCATATTTTACTGTCACATAAACAGGTAACTGACATTGTTATAAGTGTAGCAGCATAGGTACTTTCTACACGTGCCACCGTCCACGTCCTTGCAACCTCCTAGAATCCTTATCGCACGGCACGTGTAACACTAGAAACGCACCTGCGCGACCTACAGCTGCAGCTGCGCTTAGAAGCGACAAGTGTAAAATCGTATATAAGGCCAGAATATTTTTATAATAAACACACTTCCATTCTGTCTGTCGACTATTTAATTACAAGCTCCCAAGTTCTCAACAAAGTAGGTCATAAACCTAAACCCTAAAGGGACCTCTACATATAACCCCTTAAATTGGTGACTCCGACGTGATTTAAATTTATACGGTTAATCTTATATTTATTTACGAAATGAATACCTATTCATATACAAATATATGTATTAATAATATATTTTTTTCTCGTATTTATTAATTTTTTTATTAATTGGTACGGCATAGGGCAGACGGTCATCCTACTGATAAGTGGGAACTGTTCTCGTATTTACATTTTCAGAATTGTGAAGATCAGGTCATGACCTGATCTTCACAATTCTCGGACCATGACGGACCATGGTCCGTGGTAACCTATATGCGTGTCCATTCAGGAGAACTAAGATGTCAGGCCACACCGTAATTTCTCTGCAATATCTCACAGTTCCTATTGTAGGTGTGCTTTGCACACATATGCTTACATCGCGTTGTGTAGCGCAGCTATTGCATGTCCCTCCCCAGTCCTGTATATCATGTAGCACAGGAATAGCGTAATATATCAGTGATTAAGTCTACTGTATTTTTCATTTCGTGAACTCTCAGACACCATTTTTTTTTCGGACTACTCTAATGCTGTTGGCCGCAGCTGGCCTTTACAGCTTCACCGGACGTTAGGGGGCGAGTGCAGATGGCACTCCAAACCCGCAGAAGGACTTATGGAGCGGCTGAAGGCCAACTCCTGCCTGACGGATACGACTTTAGTCTGAGGGCACCACTAGGGGTTCGAACCTCGGCTCAGGCCGTCGTAATTTCGATCCCCGTTTGAATTGGACGGGGATCGATCGGAGGGGTCCCAGACACCATACCCGAACACGCTATATATACATAGGAGGACAATCTGTACATAACATATATATAACATAATACAGTAATTGTGATAACTTATAAAAGTGAAACTATAATTGTCCTATGGTTCCTATATTTTACATGTACACTTGGTTATTTTTATTTTACACTCCTATATGTTGTTTTGCAAACATATATACATATGTAATGGGCAACCTTATCGGTAAATAAGAAGAGATCGCTATTTAGCTATAAGGCCAGCTATTATTGCACACAATAATAATATGTTTTTATCTATTGATTGTTTTTCAAGAAGGGTATATTAAGGTTCCTTAAGGGTCGGCAACGCGCATGTGATACCCCTGGTGTTTCAGGCGTTCATAGGCTACAGTAACCGTTTACCATCAGATGGGCCGTATGCTTGATTGCCACCATCACAGTATAAAAAAAAATTGATACATATTAGTTTATGTAAATGTATTTTCTATGAGGGAAACAATAAACAGTTTTTATTTAATTTTACATTTCAAAACCACACGAAAAATGCCTCGGACTGTAATTAAATCATAAATTACAGCGCCGGTTTTAGTTTTTCAGCAGTAGGTATTATTTTGTATTTTTCTGCTTGTCTACATACAGGTACTATTCTTCACAGATCTCATCAACAGGCGCACCCAGGACGCTGAAGTAGTCTCCTTCGATGCCTTTTATGAAGGTACCGGCCAGACCTTGAATTGCGTAGCCTCCGATGGTCCTGTCACAGAAAGTAAATAATAGAAATATAAATAGAAATAGAAAATCATTTATTCAAATAAACTTACATTGAAGCACTTTTGAATAGTCATTACATTTTTTTAATCTACCGCTCGTTCGGAAAGCTGTCTCATCACAAGTAGAACGAGCAAGAAACTTGCGTGTTGCTCTTTTAAATAATTTTATTATTACTTTACATTTTTAGGTTTAAGTGTGTGAATACAAACCACCAATTAGCACTAATTCAATTAAATACTCAAATAGAAAAAATATTGAATATATAACCAACTGGTTAAACAATTAATAAGAGGAAATCAGTCATAGTGATTAGAGCAGACCAGTCCCTACAAGCAGCACTCGTTCACGAGTATGACGGATGAGCCAGCCATCACTGCGCTCGACCATATTTTAGAGAGCCCAATGACCCGGCCCACCTCGCCGCCACAAGTCTGGACATTTTAGTGAGCATGACTACTCAAAACACTAGACTACGTCAAAGCTACTTACAATTGCCATCTGATAGTTATAGCACAGATAACATAATATTACATACAGATACCCCATCCCATACAAGAAAATGGTTCCTTCCTAACTCGGGCTATTCTTCGGGCTATTTTATTTCGCCGCCGTAGCCGCTAGATGTCTCTAGATCTGAAGCAGTTCGGATTACTAGTGGGTGCTTAGTAACAAAGCACGAAAATAGATGGCAGTCAATTCAGTCTACATGACATCTGTTTTGCAAAGATAGGTATATACAAGATATGTAGGTAACTGTATCGTGTACCTCATTAGGGACGATTCAAGATTCAATGTAAATGTAGCCGATTGCAGATATGGCTTATGTGCCAATGTATATATTATGTTATAGTTTATTTACATTCCATGCCTATTTTTTTCTCTCGACGAAGATATGTTGTAACGCGTCATGCGTATAGCCCGATTTTGATACGTTTATACTCGTACGTATCAACATCGGGCTAATAATTTCAATCGTTATGTGTAAGAGACTGGTTTTAGCTACAATGAATTTACTGGTATATATCATGTATTCTACGATGTACCCCTCTTTTCCCTAATGAGAATTCCGCTATACCTTATATATAAACTTCGTATCACAGTGTTAGTTGCCATATTTCTCCCACATTTTGATGAAATTTGATATGTATACTTGCTAGGTCTGAGGTAGGGTTGTTATCTATTTTTTATACCCCTAAGTCATAGGGTGGCCTACCCTGATTTTTTTTTTTTTTTTTTTTGTATTATGGACAATTTTTTATTTATTTATAATGTTACATACACGCCTAAATTTTGGCCCGTCTTTCACCAACCCCTATTTTTAATAGCGATATTCTTACAAATATTATAAATGCTAAAGTAACTCTGTCTGTTTGTCTCGCGTTACACGTTAGAAATGTGTAACGTACCTACATTAAAAGATAATTTTTGACATGTATGAAATGTATGAAAGAAATGTATGTACCTACATTAAAAGATAATTTTTGACATGTATGAAATGTATGAAAGAAATGTATGTACCTACATTAAAAGATAATTTTTGACATGTATGAAATGTATGAAAGAAATGTATGTACCTACATTAAAATATAATTTTTGAAATGTATGCACCGTACAATAACAATACACGTTAAACATCATATCACAGAGTCATACGCATGTTAAAACAAACTGCTATGATATTAATGAGAACGGAAAATCAACTTTATGGTATTCGAGTTAGAGTCGATTTCTCTCTTTTTTTTAAATACTATTTTAATCTTGCCAGTATTCAAAGAAAACTACGATTTTTACTCGATATTTTAAATTATTATGTAATCGATTTTTAGTACAAATGTAAATAACCAACGACACTAACTATATTCCGTTCTTTGAAACGGAACACTGCTATAATACAAAATAATGAAAATTTACTGTTCACAACGACTCATTAAAAGCATCATCGAATAATGCGCTGTAATAAAATCCTGTTATCGATTATTCAAAAAAATCGATAATACATGTATTTATTTTTAATATGACAACACTTCATACATAAGTATTATTGGAAATAGTAGTATAATTTAAGTATAACTTGCTTGTTCGGCTATTTTTAATTTACTTAAAATTTTTTTATATGTTTAATTTACAATAATGATATATTAAGTGCTTATTATTGGAAAATATAAAAAAGACATTTAATTAGGCCGATACAAATGACAACAATGCCATCTATGAAAGCATTTTGAAAACATTGAGCCCCTGATTTATTAGCACTGATTAAAGTGTAATTAAATACTGGAAAATAACAAAATGAGTAAATATATGAAAATTACTTTTCTAATCGCATTATTTCATTTTAACATGTATATATAACTTTTTAAAAATTGATTAAACATTTTTGTAAACAGTCTTGTTTTTTAAAACGTTTGCAAAACTATGAAGAATTCCATCGATACCAATCACGCCATCTATATGCAACTTTTAGCAATAATAATAAGTTCCTCACGGATTGCCACTGGTTATAGTATTCACATTTTACATTGCATGCGGCAATCAATAGAAAAACCGCTACACTTTCATATTTCTAAAATAATTAAATCAAGAAAGCAATGAGAAAATTAAATTATAACGTAGTATGCTAATAAATTAATTATTTACTTGATATGTTGTCATCTATGAATTCGTCTATCCTGTAATTGCCTCTCTGTCAGATTTAATGCAGATTCTGGCTGTTTATTATAAAATCTTACGCAATTACCATAGAATGAATTACTGATTTTGTGCAGACGGCATTTAGGTAAAATTAGTTTATTTATATTGCGTAAGTTTCTACTTGTACAGTCTTTGAGTTTTTTAAAACTCTCTAAGTTCTTCCGCGTATACATGATATTTTCATAAATAAATTATTGCGGGTAGACAATATATTCATACTAATGTTAACAAGATCGATATTTTAATGTACAATTGTCAATCCAACTAAAATTCTATCATCTATACATATAAATAAAATTGGAGTGTCTGTTTGTAATATTGAAATAACCGTTTTTATTACATGCATATTAATATATATAGGACATATACCAAAATAACATTTTTTATAATTTTTTTCTGCCTGTCTGTCGGTCTGTTTGTTCCGGCTACTCTCTGAAATGGCTGGACCAATTTTGACGGGACTTTTTTGGCAGGTAGCTGATGTAATTAGGAGTAACTTAGGCTACCTTTATATTAGAAAAATAAAGTTAAATTCCACGCGGACGTAGTCGCGGGAATAGCTAGTCCGTAATATAACGTCTCAACCAACAACATCGTCTTATTATACTTTAATATGTTTTACAGAATAGGTATATAACGAAGTGGAGAATTGTTCGACATGGCACTACGGCTACCTTTTACCATCGCACCGCTCGCCATCGACAAGGAATTTATACCCACACTCTGGAACCTAAGTGGTCTCGGATAGTGCGGTTTCAGAGGAGCTTCCTTTCGCGTACACTTAGATTGTGGAATGAACTATCTGCTGTTTTTTTCTCTAAACACTGCAGTATGGGGTTTTTCATGAAAGGTATATTAAGTTTTAAGTTAAAGGTCGGGAAAAGGTAAGTTACATCCCTGGTATTTCAGGTGTCTCTAGGCTAGAGTATACTTGTTTGTCACCATCGTGGTATGAAAAAATCGAATCCCCTTATAACGTATTTTATAAACGTCCCCATATTTTAGTTAAATACAATATAATCCATATATTCCATGATGTCATATTGTATTGTGCCAGTAAAAATAATTAGAGATTAGGTTTCATATATTCTGATAAACTATCAGACTCTCAGAGTTCTCCATTATTCCTGATTAATAGAACATATTCGAATCTGATATCACATCATTACATAGTATAAAATAAAGTCGCTGTCGCTGTCTGTTCGTCCCTATGTATGCTTAAATCTTTAAAACTACGGTACGGGTTTTTTTAACAGATAGGTGATTCTAGAGAAAGGTTTTGTTTGGGAAACTACTCTGCTACCAAAATGTTAGGGAATTTACTATGTCGGTCACGTACCTGTATGGTTCTGCGGATTTCTTGGGCTTCAGGGTCTCGAAGGTATCTTCGCTAGCTTTCCACTTTCACAGTAGGTTTCACAGTTCTAATTTATTTTAATTCACAACACAATGCGCGCGCGCGTCAAGGCCGCTGTACGGTCCGTTTGTACTAGGTAAGGGAGGGGAAGTGAAACCGCGGGAACAGAAGTTAACGGACTCTAATATAATAATCTGTGCTTACGATGGTACAGGGTAGATTTTGAACAGGTTTATATATATAATACATGTACACCCGGGCGAAACTGGGACGAGTAGCTAGTATACGTATATAATCTACTTATGATTCATAGATTAATGCTGGATGCCTGGATTAAATGCTACTTTAACTGACTGAATTTATTGCTAGAGATATTTATAATGCGATGAAATACATTATGAGGTGGAATCACATGTGTCGGCAATTGGTAGTATACAGCAAGTACGCATGTGTGGTTGCCCATACATCTGATATTAAGTGATTCCCGCCACACATGAGCCACTTGCAACACTAGGGGAATTGCAAGTGCGTTAGCGGCCTTTTAAGAATGAATAAGCTCTTTTCTTGAAGGTCCCAATTTCGTATCGCTTCAAAGATACCATTTCTGAAAGGTGATTCCATAATGTAGTTATGCGTGGCAAAAAGTCTGGGAAAACGCACGGTGTACGATCGCCATTCATCCAGATGTCAGGATGGTATTTTATTTTCTGGCGGGTAAGTGCGATGGTGAAATATAGTTGCTGGTATTAATCTGAACAATTCTTCAGAATAGTCTCCGTGATCAATTGGTTCTCAAGAGAGACAGGACCTCAGTCATATTGTATTACATAAAGCCCCTGGTGTACTTGGTGTACTCATGTTATAAGTTACCATCAGGTTCGTGTTGTAATAAAAAAAAACTCACTTGGCTTCACCACTCTTCACATAATAGCGCATCTGCACGTCAGTCAGCTTCCCGAACTCCACGATGGTTTTCCCAGAGTAAAATAAATCAGGACGTTTAGGGAACAACATTACTAACCCAGTTACGACCACATTTTTATCGCCTGATAGTCTGAAACAGAAGTATTATGTGTGGAGGATGATAAGATAAGTATAAGGCCAGATCAGTAAGCCCATTGTGACATATTCATCAGAAAATTATCATGATGGTTTCCAGGGGATCCCCGTGAAGGTGAACCTGACATAGTACATTGTTAGCATTGGAGAAACCAGTCCAGATTACTAACAATCTCCTACACAATAGAAGGATTGTAGCGTTGTAAACTGTCACCTGTGGTTAGAAATTGTTTCAGTGAAGTAAATTTGACATACTACTAAACGTTACCGAGTACTCTAGCCCCTGTGACACAAGCTACGTTTAGTGCAGAGACAGTTGTAAATGTACACAACTTATTAATTTTGTCGTGCTGTTTTGTTTAACATTTACGTTTTCAAAGTTTGCGTTGACACATCGTCAGTTGTCAATATCTCTGTTTTACCTACATATGCGATTATATTAATTTAATTATTATTGAAAGCAGAAACTAATATACGTTCCATGTCAACTTTGAATATTACAAATAAAGGACTGCAAATTTTTACTTCATTGTGAATACATGTAATACTTTACTTTTCTCTGTTATGACCTATTATCAAACCTAATTACAGTTACAATTAATTGCTTATATATAAGAGTAAGTATAGAGTGCCGGAAAAAGCTTGTGTCTGAAATTGAAACTTCATCAAGATTCAGTGTGGGGTCAGAAAAACCTAGTTCAATTCAACCCTAACAAGATACAAGTGTGCGCATAATATATATTGAGTTTGCTGTATATTTGCTTGTATTGAGTATATATTTACAAAAAAATGTATCAAGTATTTATATCAGTTATCCATAACATAAGCTCTGCTTATCTTGGGACTTGAGGGCGCTGTGTGTATTGTCCAGCGATATGTGGACTATTTTATCAAGAACTACAGAGCAAGGAATTTGAGAGCTATTTTGTGTGTTTATTTTGGAATATCCTTCTGACTTATTCGTTTGAAAACTACACAACATTAATGCAGTACGGTGAACCGTCAGGGTAGCCATTTGTTTTGAATTGACTGCGGGGCAAAATTTGTGTGAAAAATGGACAATTACCTTTTTAGTATAGTCATTGCATTCTCGTCATCTTTTGGTTTTGAAAGTATTTTGCTACCGATGGCGACGACGGTGTCAGCGCCTATTATTATGGTGTTAGCTGCACCTGCCTGCTTTTTGAGCTTTTGACCCTTCTTCTGAGCGATCTCTTTCACATATTTTTTGGGATCCAGTCCATTAGTATCTTCCTTATAATCTGGATTTATGTACTCAATAAACCCAAGGCTCTGGATTAGTAAAAAACATATTTATACGAGCATCGAACTAGACCACTTTTTTAATTTGGCATGACAACTCAAAGCTTCTGAGTAACTCAGGAGTGGTTGATGACATATCTGTAGTATTGTTCATCTTTAGAGGCGAAGAGTTCCACTTACCATCAGGTGGACTAACAGCCAGTTTCCTATTCAAGTTATAGAAGAAAGAGTACTAAAGTAATGTTACGTCATAAGGACAATCCGCGCAAACAAAGCAACATAGAGATGCAGTTATTAATATATGACGTGAGACGTATTCAAATTATAAGGCGGTGTGATGGCCATTTTGAGGTCTAGGTGGTCTAGCGACCATCGGGTTCTTACCGACTATTTATCGATATAACTGGTTCGTACACTGATTGTAATAAAACAAACAATGAATTTATCTTATTATACTTTGAATGTATTGTATATTAGCGCAAACCGCACCTAGTATTAGAGTCAACTAAGAGAACCAAAGACAATGACTGACAGACTGGGTGCAGTTTTATCTAAGTGGTTAACTACACCCAAAAGACTGCAATATCAGATCTGGCGGACATAAAGAACTTAATGCGACATTTCAACCTAAAAAAATCAATGAGAGATATTTTAAGATATGAAAGACAAACTTGCTGTTCCTAAGTATCCTTTAGAAAAAGTCAATGGGTCATTTATGGGAATGGAATTAAAAATTTACAATGAGATACCAAAGGATATACGGTAATTACTTTTAAATCAATTCAAAACATCTGTTTAAACAACTAAACGATTACTTGAATGACAAGCATGCATGGCATACAGTGTAAATAAACTTCTTTTGGAAAAAAGTAATTCAGTTGAGTTTCTTGTCAGCTCTTCTCAATTGAATCTCTATACTGAACTGGACGGTAGCGAAAATAAAATATAATGCAAAAAAATATTTATTTACGTTCGTAAGTGACTAAAATGAATAAAGAAAGAAAGAAAGAAAGAAAGAAAGAAAGAAAGAAAGAAAGAAAGAAATAAAGAAAAAGAAAGAAAGAAAGAAAAATATTTTATTCAGTGCAATGTAAAACGATTTTTGATTCAATTTACATTAGACTGGCCCCTGCTACGTTGTATAGAAAACCGTTTTTATTCGGACTACTCTAATGCTGTTGGCCTTTACGGCTTCACCGGACGATAGGGGGCGAGGGCAGATGGCACTCCAAACCAGCGGAAGGATTAAGGAGCGGCTGGAGGCCAACTCTCGCCTGACGGATACGACTTTAGTCTGAGGGTACCGCTGGGGTTACGAACCTCGGGTCAGGCCATCGTAATATCGATCCCCGTTTGAATTAGACGGGGGATCGATCGGAGGGGAATGAAAACCGTACGATAATATATATAATATATGTAATAATATAATATATGTTTATGTAAATTGCATATAGGTACAGCAGTATGAACGCGCGGAGCGCAATCTTATCTGTGGCAATACTACCACGAATCAATACTCCAATAGACCGTTGCTATTCAGTAAAAACAATATATGTATATTGAATAATTGGTTTATTCCATTTCCAGTGTCCACTAAGGGCCCTAATCATGATGCATATATATACCAAACCTAGGCTTGCGTACAACAAAAATCTGCAGATGTTACCAACCTGAAGAGGAAACGCCACTTAACATCCTATGTGGTCTTAGCTCACTCTAAGCTTAAACGATATATCTCCTTTGATAAGTACCCACTCTATCCTGAGGAGATAAAACCATCGCTTTTAAGAATATCTTTCAGTTCTTGTCCCTGACTTTAATATTTTTTCGTAATACATATTATACATAGAAAACACCTAGACGGATATAAACAATTATACTCATGAATAGAAATTATTGTACCGTTCGGGGTATCGAACCCAGTTCGACGAATCGAACATAGAATATACTTTTATTTCCATTATTAAGATATCAAAAACTTCATGAAAACAATTTATTGAGATCTATATCTGGAGTATAGCTTTGTATGAGTGTGAGAAGTGGTCAATAAATCAAAAAGAATGGGACAAACTGGAGGCATTGGAAATGTGGTGTGGGAGAAGGATGGGAATTAGCTAGAAAGATAATGAAAATAAGAAATGAAGAAGTACTACACCGGGTAAAAAAGGCAGAAATTGTATACAATAGAAAATAGACGAGGAAAAATGACACGACGAAAATTATTATTGAGTGAAAAATAGAAGAAAGAGGGGAGGGGAAGACCAAGGCACAGCTACATCAAGCAAATTAAAGACAAAATGGGAGTCGTATCGTATCAACATTCAAAGAACATGATGGATAAGAGCGTAGCTCTTAAACTATGAACGAATAAATTAATTCGGAAAAAAACATTTATAAATACATAAGTATAATTATAATAAAGCGACTATAATTATGCTTACATTTGTTTAGATTGTCGCTTATAAGTCGTTTCATAATTATATTTTTACAATTTTTAATTATGACTTTATTTACTCTAAAGCTAAAAATCAGCACAAAGCTTTGGTCGCAGCGATATGCTTAGCGGAGTCTGTTTTAGCAATTGTCATCATGCATATACATGCTGACAATTTAATGTGATGTATATTATTTGTAATGTATCTTAATGTCAACATTTAGCAAACTATTTAAATGTATATTATTATTATTACTTACCTTTTCCTTCGGGACTTTTTTGCGACTTTTTGGCTCCATGGCAAATATTGCTTTTATATTATTTTTGTCTAATAGCATCATTAGAGGTTGCAACTGGCGCTTCACCATCTTTGATGATTGGAAAAATCTGTAGGAACGTAATAATATTTATCTATTATAATATTTATTATATCATTTACCTACCTATAAACAAATCAATTTATCGTCTGTAAATAGAAGATATCTCTCTGTGCATTTTCTACCGCATATATCACGGGGAGTGTTCTGAGGAATTGTTCGGATTAATACCAGCTGCTGAATTTCACCACCGTACCACCCGCCAGAAACTGAAATACCATCCTGATCATCTGGATGAATGGCGGTCCTCCACAGTGCGGTTTTATAGAAACTTTTTGCCTCGCACAACCACATTGTGGAATCACCTTCCAGCAATGGTATTTCCGAACCGATACAATATTGAAACCTTCAAGAAAAGAGCTTATTCCTTTTTAAAAGGCCGACAACGTACTTGAAATTCCTCTGGTGTTGCGGGTGCTCATGGGCGGCGGTAATCACTTACCATCAGGTGAGCCGCATGCTTGTTTGTCCCCTGTGTTATAAAAAAAAAAAAAATAAGAAGTATGAATAAAATTATTACTGTGCAATTTTAGAAAACTGCTATATTGGTAGAGTTAAGTGTACCACAGGCATCAAATATAATTAAAGACCATGCAATAAAAACAAATAAATATTAGGAAATAACAAACAAATTAACTAAAAATGGCTATATAGTTAATTTAATTGCGGTCGAAGTAGGAAGGCCTTTCGGAAGTTGGGTTTCGGCTATTTTCAGGTGTTAACTGTAGCACCTGTAGCACTGTGACCTACATAGATCTATTGTGCTCGCCCTTTTTCAAAGTTCGCTACCTAGACCAATCAGGGACAAGAATTGAAGCATATTGTTAAGATCGATGGTTTATATCTCCTCACGATAGAAGTTGTACTTTCCAAAGGAGATATTTCGTTTATGTATGAGTAGGTTACAACCACAAAGATTCATTTAACAAAGGATTTTTGATCTGTAATCAATTAAAGTTGGTATTCTATCAGAAAATGGCGCCACTTCTTGAATGATTCAACGATAGCATATGCTTCTTTTTCTATAGCTGAGTGATTAGGCTCACTCACGTTTAATGTTCTCGAACAAAATGCAACTGGTCTTGTAAAAGAACAGCTTCAATGAAATGTAGATGTATCAGTCTCGATGGTGAATGGTAGCATAAGTTCCACGTTGACAGCATGGACTGTGGTTTGTTTTTTTTTATAGGTGGCAAACAAGCATACGGTCTATATGATGGTAAACGGTTACCGTTGTGGTGGTGTGGTGATTAGACTATATCAGCATTCGATTTTATGTGGTTTATGTGTATATACTCGTATATGTACTTTAATGCGCATAATTTTAAAGTACATATAGCGGATTTCATACCATGCGGCATTATCCATCAGTCAACCATATGGAGATGCAGACAATAATTGTTGGCAGTGCAAATATAAATGAACTAGCTGTGCCTGTGATTTCACACGCATGAAATTTATAGCCTACAAGCTACTCGATCCGGCTTCGCACTGGTGTACATGTATTTATATATAAACCTTCCTCTTGAATCACTCTATCTATTAATAAAAAACCGCTTTAAAATTCGTTCCGTAGTTTTAAAGATTTAAGCATACATAGGGACAGACATAGACAGCGACTTTGTTTTATACTATGTAATGATGATATAATGAACAATACACATACAAATGTATCTATGAATAAATACTTAATGATCTGCCAACCAAATTGTAAGTAGTCTTAAATTGAGTATAAATTAAGAAGTTATAAAACACAAAAAAAGTGACATATTCAGAAAGAACTATAAGAAAACAGCCTAAAAAAGGGGAAGGAAAGAAAAAGAGAAGTTACAAGTTTAAATAATAGTCTCGCAATTTACGTTTGAACGAAATTTTACTCGTGGCGATCTTGAGAGACGATATCAAAAGTAAGTCATTCCAAAGTTTTGATAGATAGATAGAAGATAGAATATACTTATATATAGAAAAGGCATAAAAAATATATTAAATAACATGTATAGTTACAATAAGGCGGCCTTATTGCTGAACGCAATCTTTTCAAGGCAACCTTAAGGAAACGGATTGAAAAATGAACCTAGAGAAGGTAGATACCTAATATGCATACAGGAGAAAAAAAAATTGTTTTCTCCTGTATGTATAGTTAAAATTTTGATAGCATGAACGGCGAAACAATAATAAATAAAGCCTGAATATGAAATAAGAATTGTCTACTTCTGCGTAGACTGCAATGCAGATTAAACTAGCAAAAGTTTATTTTATGATGAAGAAAAATCTTTAATTATAGTTGATTTTAAAAATATAGATTTTCTAATTAAAACCTATTCATTTTTGCTAACAGTTTCTTATTGACACTTACATAAATCATTTTAACATATAATGTTCTTTAAACATGACATGTTAAATGCCCATGTCCTTTATATAGATATAGTACCTACATCAGTGAGAAACTAGCTTTAATTTATACAGTAGTATTTATTTATTTATTTAATTCAGGCTACATGGCCCATATTATAAATACCTTATAGACTAACATACATAAGAAATAATAATAAAATATGTAAATAAAATTGTCTCTATGGTCACGGCACTGACGACGGCAATCTGCCACGGTAGCGCCGATAGACCATCCCCTTCGGCCAGTAGTCCTCCTTCATGAAGGTGGGCAGCATGTTGGTGGGGACAAGGGCCACGAACGCTTTGAAGCTCGCGTTGTGGCTCGATTCCAACTGCGTCACCCTCAATGTCAGGTTGCTTTTAGTCCGGATGTAGTCAACAACGTCCTGTTCCTTGGTAGCGTAGTGTAGGCGGGATAGGTACATTGCTGTGGTCGGTGTTGCGGCACGTAACAAGAAGTTGGGCCCTGTCAGTGCTGTGCCACAATGGTTTCGATTGACCCTCTTTGTGCGCCTCTTCTTTTGTACCGTCACAAAACCATCATCGTCACGGTCGGCAGACTTAATAAGTCAGTATAATTGATAAAAATAATAATAGGTTTATTGTACAAAAACAGTTACAAAATAACAGTCCTTAAAAACTGTTTAACACCAAGTCCAGTGCAATAGTGTCTAAACCACACAAGCCTGTATCTCAGGTACCATTTCCCTCCTAAATATAATATACAGCTACTATACAACTTTTAATAGTTTTAATCAACATCAAGTTGTGTGTAGTGTACACACAAGGTAAAATTACTAAAGACGTTCTAAAAAAATAATGTCTGTCTCTCAGGAGATTATATCTTTATTAATACACTAGCTGTCCCGGCAAACGTTGTTTTGCCTTAAAATAAAAATAAAAAATTTAGGGGTGGACTACCCCTAACATTTAGGGGGATGAAAAATAGATGTTGGCCGATTCTCAGACCTATTCAATACGCTCACAAAATTTCATGAGAATCGGTCAGCCGTTTCAGGGGAGTATGGGAACTAAAACTGTGACACGAGAATTTTATATATATGATTAGTCACAATCTATATATTTATTACTAGTGGCTTGTTCCGGGCTTCGCACGGGTGTACATTTTTACAATATTTCACATTTTTATTTAATCCTACCTTATTAAATTGACTAAATTAACAGAAAACACGTTAAACACATTAAAGATATATATAGTTATTTGTTCACGTTTTGATTTTAATTCTAAAGTTTCAATATTATATATTAATAAAGGTAGGTATAATCAGTATATTTAATTATCTAGTTCCTTAAATCAGATTCATTAAACAATTATTATAAGGATATATTGAATCTATAGAAATTTGTCTGTAATAATTATATCTTAATACCAATCTGGAGTCTAGTGTTAAACCTTTCTCTTCAACGGCTTCGGAATGAATGCTAAACAAAAAGAATCTGCATTATAAGATGGCGTTCTAAAAATAGGTAAAGTAGTATTAGTGGGGACGAGTGCGCCGCTAGCGCCATCTAGTTTCAGAATATTACAACTACGGTAATTTTAATAATTAATACTGCTTTGGAGTTGGTGCTTGCTTCCAGTGCCATCTATATCCGGAGCTAGCGATAACAAAATTTTATTGATATTATTTATTGTTTTATTTTTATATTTTTCCTTTTTTTTTGTAGCATGTGTACCTTTTGTTATAACCGGTAATGTTTGGCGAAAGTCTCCAGCGAACAACAAAGGTTATGCCCCAAAACTTGACACAAAGATGCGTCGTGAGTTCGAAGAAAAATATTCGCATATCGAAATTCCTTCTTATAAATTAGTTAGTGAATTTTTGCATTCTAAGTGTGAAGCGCATAGTCGTGATACACATTTTACCGAACAGAAGCCACATTCAAATTCTCGTGACTTGTCGAATGTTCATGCCGGTACTCATACAAGGCGCATAAACGTTTCGCATACACTCGTAGCAACTAATGAGTCTAAAACCGGTATGGTTACTGGTGCATCGTCGAGTGTCGTTAGATCAGTGTCGTCTAGTTGTCCATTTTGTAGTCAATCACATTAAATTGGTTCATGTAAATCGTTTCTCGAAAAATCAGTAGATGAAAGAATGGCAATTGTAAACGAGAAAAGGTGGTGTTATAACTGTTTGAAATCGTCGCATCAGTTGAAAACTTGTAATTCTGTATTCACATGTCAAAAATGTAAGCGTAGACATCATACATTGTTACATAGGGAAGTAACAAATTCCAGTAACACTTCATCACTGTTAACACAAAATTCAAGTGTTAACACAACTGTCTTGTTAGCAACAGCTCTTGTAACGGTAAAGGACAGTTTCGGGAATAACAATACTTTTCGAGCATTGTTTGACACCGGCAGTCAAAATAATTTTATTACTGAAGAAGCAGTAAATCGTTTAAATCTTAATGTGCTTTCTTCTTGTTCTTCAATAAGCGGCTTGGGTGACGTGTCAGCTTCCATCAGTGGTTTAGTGCGTGGTATCGTAGGAAGCTTATCGACAAATAATACAAACGTATCATTTGAACTTGACATGCACGTCATTCCTAAGATCTGTGGTGACCAACCAATCGCGAGATTGAATACTTCTGGTTGGTCACATATCAAATCGTTAGATTTAGCGGACCCTGGGTTTGATGTACCCGGACCCGTGGATCTGTTGCTCGGTGCAGATATTTTTGCGGATTCGTTACTTACAGAACGACTTAAGGGCGGTCCATCACAACCACCTGCATTTAATTCGGTATTTGGTTGGCTATTACTAGGAAAGACTTCATTATCAGGTTCGTCATTGGTTGCGCTGCAATCAAAGATCCAATATGATGATCTTACAAAATTAGTGGAGAAGTTCTGGGAAATCGATAACGTTCCTCAAGCTAATTCATTTACCCCAGATGACATTCTTTGCGAGAAGGAATATATCGCAACTACACATCGGAATGAGCACGGTCGTTATGTGGTACACTTACCGTTCAAAAATTCTTGTGAACCCGTGTTCTCGGGATCTCGTGATATTGCTGAGAGGCGGTTTTATGCTCTCGAACGTAGATTATCGCGTGACCCTGATTTAAAGCGTCAATACGTTGAATTTATGTTTGACTATCTTCAGAGTGGTCATATGTCATTGGTACCCACTTCAGAAAAGCGTCGCGGAAAATATTATATCCCGCATCACTGTGTTGTACGGCCTGACAGTCCCACCACCCAATTGCGTGTGGTATTTGATGCCTCCGCAAAGTATAATCTTGGTCAGTCATTAAATGATACACTGCTAATTGGACCAAAATGTCAAACTGATATCACGAAAGTTCTTTTACGTTTTCGAGAACACGCTATTGTCTTTATGGCGGACATACGCCAAATGTACAGGCAGATTGTTATTAGTCCAACACATCGGGACTACCAGCGCATCTTGTGGCGTTCAGATTCACGACAACCGGTATCAGAGTACAAACTGAACACCGTTACTTACGGTGTTTCATCGGCTCCCTTTCTCGCCTGTCGAACTCTTCAGCAGCTCGCATGCGATGAGGGTGACACATTACCTTTAGCAAAAAGGGCGATTACATACGATATCTATGTCGATGATATTGTTACTGGTGCTAACAATATGATCGAAGCCCGACAGGTGAAGTCACAAGTTGTTGAATTACTCAAGTCTGGGCACTTCGAGTTAAGAAAATGGGCTAGTAACAAACCTGAGCTACTGGACGATGTACTGACTGAGCATTGCCTGGTTGAAGCTAAATCGTTTACTGATGAACAACCATGTACACTGAAGGTTCTCGGACTGAAATGGGATCCATCCCATGATGTATTCGTCTTTCATGTAAAACCTCTTAATAAAATGTGCACTAAACGATCAATTCTGAGTGAGGTTAGTCGGGTGTTTGATCCTTTGGGATTTCTTTCCCCGTTGACGATTCACACCAAAATTTTAATTCAACAACTTTGGGTGGCTGGCATAGGTTGGGATGAAACACCACCGGATGACATAGTTCGCACATGGAATGACTATATTCAGCAATTACCATCGATTCAAAATTTATTCGTGCCTCGTCGGTGTACTATCGATCACGCCATGTCATATGAACTTCACGGATTTTGTGATAGCTCAGAAAAGGCTTATGGTGCTGTGATCTATTTGCGTGTTACTGATAGTAGCGATCGTGTACACACGTTTTTTGGATGCTCCAAGGCTCGCGTAGCTCCTTTAAAGAAGCTCAGCTTACCACGTCTAGAATTATGTGCATCAGTATTATTGGTGAATTTGCTCAAATTCGTGGAAGAGGCATATGCTCCGCGTATTAATTTCTCTGTCACTCTATGGAGTGATTCGACTGTCGTTCTCTCTTGGCTTAGATCACATTCATCAAAGTGGACAACTTTTGTTGCAAACCGAGTTAGTCACATACAAGGCATTGCAACGATTGAACGGTGGCGTCATGTTCCTACAAATGATAACCCTGCAGATATTTGTTCGCGAGGACAGCTTCCTCGACAACTTATTAACAATTCGTTATGGTGGGCGGGGCCCACGTGGTTATGTAAACCACACACCGAGTGGCCATCAACCCCTGTATTTGTTAAGGAAACAAATGACAGTACGGTGCTTTCAGAAGTTAGGCGAACCGCGACTCTGTTAACTCAACAGATGGCACATCCTAATCTCGATCCTTTTTTTGAGGATTTACTCAATAGCGATCTCTCGCTGGATGCAATAGTCGATAAGGTAGGCTTCACTATATTACGAAAATCTGAATTTTCTTCGGATTCAGTCTTGACTAGTGAAGAACGGTACAAATCACTTTATATTCTAGTAAAATACGTTCAAACTTTATCATTTCCTACTGAACTAGAAAGAATACGTTCTGGTCAATCATTACCAAAGTCGTTTCGTAAACTCAATGTATTTATCGATGACCAGGATGTACTCAGGGTGGGCGGCAGGATCTCTCGTTCTGGGCTTAAGTATGAACAAAAGCATCCGGCGTTATTATCATCGAATAATCCCTTCACATCTAAATTAATACAATCGGTTCATTTGAGCAACTGTCATTGTGGCGTAAATACTACACAATATTTAATACTGCAACAATTTTGGATTATATCGGCTAAGCGCGTTATAAGACGATGTTTATCCAAATGTCTTAATTGTTATCGACTCCAACCTAAACCGTTACAACCGTTTATGAGCGACCTTCCAAAATATCGTGTAAATGAAGTAAAACCTTTCTCTATTGTAGGAGTAGATTATGCTGGTCCGTTTCGTATTAAAACTGGACCATATCGTGGAGCTAAAATAGACAAGGCTTATCTTTGTTTATTTGTATGCTTAGCCACTAAGGCTGTACATTTAGAGACCGTTTCCAGTCTTTCTACAGACGGATTTATTGCTGCTTTACGTCGTTTCGTTGCTCGGAGAGGCAGATGTTCCACAATACACGCAGATTGTGGTACAAACTTTATCGGTGCTCGTAATCAACTCGTGTCTCTCACTAAAATTGCGTCTGAGACAGAACGGATCGAATTTAAATTTAACCCACCCTCTGCACCTCATTTCGGAGGTGTATGGGAAATTCAAATACGAGCTGCAAAAACGCATTTATATCGAGTTGTAGGTGATCAGGTGTTGACATTCGAGGAACTAGCTACACTTTTTAGTCAAATTGAAGCAGTCCTGAACTCGCGGCCTTTGTATCCTATGAGTTCAGATCCCAATGATTACCAAGTCTTAACACCAGGACATTTTTTAACTCTGGAACCATTGACATCTGTTCCAGATGTGGATGTAACTCACCTTAATGTCAACAGGCTAGATCGCTGGCAACTGATTCAGTCGTTCCAACGATCGTTTTGGAATCGATGGAGAAACGAATATCTCCACTCGTTAAATTTGCGAGCTAAATGGACAAAAGAGTCGAAGCCATTAGAATTAAACTCAATGGTCATTATCAAAGATGATAATCATCCACCTTTACATTGGCAAATAGGAGAGTTGTAGAATTACACCCTGGACCAGATGGTCTGGTTCGCGTGGCTACCGTACGAACAGATAAGGATAATTTGATCAAGAGACCTTTGGTCAAATTATGCCCATTACCCAATGAACCGTTTTAATATTTATTATTTATATTTAGCCATCGTAGTTTTACATCGTAGGTATAGTTATAGCATTAGTGAGTAGTTCATCTGTATTTCTAATAATAGTTTTTTTTTATTAGTATCGTTTATATGTATATTTTTATTTAAAGAAATGCCTATCGGATTTCGGTGGGCGGAATTATGTACCGTCCCAATCATAAATTGTGCATTTTTTATTCGCTTACCGCGCGTATTACGCGCTTGGAGCGGTCACAATCGTAAGTTGGTTTGCGCGGTGAACCCACGCATGCACTTGGCTTGACATACGCGCGGTCTGTCGTCTCGCAAATCGTGATATTACCGAATAACCAGGATAAATCCAGGAGAATACTCTTCGAAGCATCTCGTTGAAATTAAGGTGGAACCAGAACGTCGCACAAGACTCCATCCAAGTAAGTGCACGTATCCTTCTTATTTATTGTGATCGGTCCTGCAGTGATACCAGAGTGTGGCAGACGATCGAATTCCACCGCCTCACGGTGTCTGCTACACTGAGTTTCTAGTCAGTTCTTCTCATCTCGATATCATTCCGAACTGACGGTACATTTGACATATCATAAGAGTCTGTAATAGACCTACATGAATAAAGATATTTTGAATTTGAATTTGAATTTGAATTCTTTATAAAAATCAAAATCTAGACCTTGTTGTTGGGTTATATGTCTGATATCGTTACACAAAGGTGTCCCATAAGTTGAGAGGTTCCGAGGGGAAACAAAATAATAATATCAGGCCTTTTCTATATCTGATTTTATAACATCATATATTTCGAATGGAATATATATATACGATTTGAAAAATTCAAAAAGTAATCTGTACGTTTTGAAAAAAATTTTAATACAAAATTTTGTATTTGGATAAAGATTAACAGGAATGAATAACATGTACAACGCAAGAGCGTTATTTCTATGACTTATTAAATTAGTAATATCTATTGAATGGCCTATTTGAACAATTCAAAAATTAATCTATACTTACTATACTTTTATTAATGTAGTATACTATACTTTTATTTATGTAGATTGCTTTTTGAATTGTTCAAATTGAAACAGTTTTGAAAACAATATGATTTATTTAGATAAGGATATAAACAGAAGTATGAATAACAATGTGTAATTCTGGTCGGTATTTCTATGAACTTTTAAAATGTTAAATAGTGGTTATTGTGACATAACGATTATAGTTGGCCATATAGTATCGTGAAGTTTTTGTAATAAATTTTCATCAATATTGTAGAACATACTTTTGTTCTATCACCCAGGGGCGGATCAACCTACTAAAAGCCCCCAGATTTCACTGAAAACAATATCACAAGGTTGACAACCCTGAGCTCAATTAACCTATGGTTGTGTGCGTATATCGATCGGAACGGGAATTCCCCGTCGCTTGTTTTTGGTATGTGTATTTTTTTGTTGAGTAATATTATTTGTAGGTCCCTGGGCTAAAACTACTTAAGGGCAGTTTTAGCCCAGGGCCGCACATCCGCCCCGGCTATCACCAATAGTTTCCGCAACGCACGCGACGAAAGATATTTTATAGCGTTTTTTTACACCTTGAGTTACGGTACTAAACTTTTAGTAAGGATGCGTAATCTTTACTAGCAATAAATATAGCCTATGTTACTCAGGGTGAATGTTGCTTTCGAATAGTGAAAGAGTTTTCTAAAATCGGCAAAGTAGTTTTTGAGTTTATTCCTTAAAAACATACATACGCACAAAAATACAGATCTTTCCTCTTTATAATATTAGTGTAGTTTAAAAGAGAAAGCAAAGAGCAAATAAAATCTACATAAGATTATTATCGAATTTAAAAATTAAATCTATTTTTATCGTAAAATGAATATGAAATTCATGTAATTCAGTATTTAGGTCATTATAAAAAGTAGGTGTATATTAAGAACTATATTTACAATATATATATATATACTTGTACCTATATTACACTTACAAAATAGTATATACTTACTTTGATTTAATAAAATATATATTATTGTATGTAACGCGAACACGATATGCACTAGTCAGCACTACACTGATAGATAACAAATACATTCAGTGGCTTTTTAATATATAATACTTATATGTATATAAGCCGCTGAAAGCTTAGATATATAAAGACCCGTAACAACAGTATCCAGGCTGCACAGTGTATCAGTTACGTGAAGCACAGTATTATTTGCAGCTGATTTCTAAGGTTAATAGAATCACTAATAATTCATCATCATTGCCTTGCCTTTATCCCATTATTTGGGGTCGGCGCAGTATGTCATTCTCTTCCACTGATCTCTATCAATCGTCATATCTAAACATACTCTTCTTTTATTCATATCATCTTTCACACAATCCATCCATCTTTTCTTAGGGCGTCCCCTCCCTTTACATCAATCCATCACTAATAATTATGACGATGTAAATAGTGCTTTAGATAGTCTCTTACACTGATTTACAACTAACAACCGTATGTTAAAGGCTAAGAAAACAAAATGTCTTATTTTTCCCCCTAAAAGTTTTTATTCCAATTCCAACATAAAATTAAACGACGAATCTTTCGGATTTGTAAAATATACTGTTTTTATAGGAGTCGTATTGGATAATAAAACTCAACGGAGTCAAGAGTCGCATAAGAGTTTATGAACTATTTTATTTACACTAAGGGCTCCGCTGAAAATCAGCGCTGTAGCTTCGGCTGCAGCAATATGCTGAGCGGAGTCCTGTTTAGCAAATAATTGTTAGTAGTGTATCGGTTTTAATTATTGTTCTACTATATTGGAGTGGCGGTGTGTATATATATATATGTTCATTCATGTACACATACTGCAAGATTAATTTAATGTAGGTATGCTAATATTAACTTTTTTGCTAAATAAATGTATATTAATATTATTATTATTAAAGGGGTGCACTAATTCAGAAACTCAGCAAAACTGAATTCAGCAGCTTATACCGTGTGTAAAGTTAGACAGTATACTAATACTGATATAGCTAGATTAGTCTACTTATGTTATTTTCATAGGATATTGTCTTAATGAATATTATTATAAGGAAAAGAAGCAGATATTAAAAATATATTCATATTACAAAAACATGCCATTCAAGCGATTTACAGAGAAATTCTAAGACGCAAATATTGTCACCGTTACTTTTCAATATATACATATATTCAAATATCCATCTACATGTACGCAAAAATCTTCATTTATTTGCATTAAAAAGCCACATTCATACTAAATTTAAAGGTAAACATGCTGATATGAGGTCAGATCAGTCAGTTCATTCACCAGATCATCACCAGATTATTCAGCAGAAACTTCTCACGATGCTTTCCGGGGGTAACCGCGTGTTACCTACCAACCGTAAACCAAGCTGACATGGTTATATCGGTAATATTCGGCAGCAATAGGGTCATTAGTTCTCTCCCTGCCGCCCCATAATATCTGGTGGAAAGGTACAGAAATGAGTAATTTTTTAGATAAAGGCAAATTATTTTATTTTTAAACAAAGCTTTATCTATGGCCCAGTTAATAAGTCCAGTTTGTTTTCGACACGTGTTTCTTTGGGTCTGATTGTTATATACAATACTTGATTGTTTTTAGGCCATTGTATCGGATGATAAAAATAAATCAAGATAAAGATATAAAAAATCTATTATTATTGCTTAGTAACCGATTATTTCTCGTGTCATTACACAAAGGGTTGTTGTTGTGAAGTTTGAAATTCAGTTTTAATTCTCAGTAAAGAATATTTTGACGAGTGGTCTACTCGTGACTAGACTGTGAAAATTAAAACCGAGGAAGACTTAAAAAGTGTGGAGGTCTTAGTTCTCACCTATTTCAGCAGCTATAAATTTGAAGGTTGAACTAAAGCAGTGAAGTTACAAGATATGAGGAATGACATCTTAGTCCTCTAAACTGAAAGGTAGAGTGACATTACTATTCCAGCAAACTACTACTTACGATAAAGTTATAGATTGTATTTCTTATATTATGTTCAAATTACGCCGACCCCAAATAAGTGGGATAAGGAAGAAGCAGATGATGATTGTGTTCAAATTTGGTAGAAAATGGTCTAGTTGAAAAGCAGCGAAGCACAGCATCCTGTCGGCATACGCGGAACTGGATCCTGGATATGGAAAGTTGTTTTATTCCATAAAATACACAAACCCAAACAACTTTATGCCGGCCCCCTAATTTTTTTTTTTATTTTATTTATTTACTTAATACAGAAAACATTTAACATAAAGAAACAAACAACAACATAATTTACTGAAGAAACTATGATATTCACAGAAGTATAAAACTGTGTTGCGAATATCGAAGCCCTCCACCTAGTATTAATATTTCCAAAAAAAAAAATACATGCACAACATTTAAATTTACCAAAAACAAAGAAAATTTAACTTATAAACAAAAAGAAAGAACGCACAAAACAAAAAGAACCTACCTGTGCTTGTGTGTGTATGTGTGTGAGAGAGAGAGAGGGTGGTCTATGATTACTATACATTATTTTTGTAATTACAATATCTACGCAACAAGTCAAGTTAATAAAGTTTTATAAGATCTTCAGAGTTTTCATACAATAAGTTTTGGAGCCATTTAGCACACAACAGCTTACATTTGTAGTAGGATATATGTTCAATTCTTTATTTAGCTTATTATACAAAATAGAACTTATGTGGTTATAATGACGACTAGCTATTGCAGTACGACAAGGATTTAATTTACATATTTTATAAGTTCCATATCTTAAATTTGTATCATTTTAAACATATGGAAGCTGAGAATGTTTACGAAGCGTAATGTTTAGCACAAATAGTTGACGGATAGTTAAGACCTAACAAATTGAATACAAATCTTCAGTTGGA